AAGTCAACAGGAGGTCTCACGAGAGGCCGGGGTGTGGCTGAAATTCAGCGTCTGGTGTGGATTCGTTCCTCACCAGCATGCGGAGAGATAAGCAGTGCAATGCAAGAACTCACTGATATAACATATGCCACAAGTGAGCAGCATAAAGATGCAACACCAACAAGAATCACCAGAGATGTAACAGATGCTAAATGTATCCTGAAATACCTTGTTGAAAGAAATCCCCTTTTTCCTGAACAATCATTACGTAACATCACAACAGGAGTTGCAGCTTCTTCTGTCAATGCATATGACGCAAAAGAATTAGGCAACGTGATTGTGGCATCTATGATTGGGAAAAAGGTATCTGAGTGTTCCTTCAAAAGAAAAAGCCAAGCTGTGACCATGGGATCAAAAACTGCAGTCAAGGTTAACAATGAAGAAATACACATAGATCCTATTTTGCTTTTTCAATGCCTAACCATAGCTGGTACACGATCTGGTGATTTGTCAGAGGCTCTAGGTTATGAGCTTTGTTCCTTTCCACTGGCTTTGTTTGAATCAAAAGGTGTAATGAGACCAGCGGTAAAATCACAACTGGCAGAGGCATTGTGGACACCAAAAATATCTTCCTTACCAGGGCCAAGTGACAAAGATGTTCAACATGTAATTGATGGAGGCGCCCTTCTTCATCGCATTCCTTGGCAAAAAGGTTTTACATGGGAGAACATTTTAAGCCAATATGTATACTATGTGCAGATGAGGTACCAAAATGCTGAAATACTGTTTGATGGGTATCAAAATGGCCCTAGCACAAAAGATGCAACTCATCTTCGTAGAAATGGAGGGAAAACCGGGACTGTAATCCAATTCATTAACACAATGAAACTCCAATGTAAGAAAGAAGATTTCTTAATGAATCAAACAAACAAGCAGAATTCTATTTTTCTGCTGTCAGAGCGACTAGAATCCATAGGTTGTGAGGTTTTCCATGCAGAGGCAGATGCAGACCTTCTCATTGTAGAGACTGCAATTGAATGTGCTGCAACTTCTGAGACCATTCTTGTAGGAGATGACACTGATCTCCCTGTGCTGCTTATTCATCACGCCCACAACATTGAACACAACATATTCTTCAAGTCTGAACCAAAGCAATCCACACACAAAACCAAAATATGGAACATCAAAGATACAAGACTATCTTTAGGTGACATAGTGTGCAGCAACATCCTATTCATTCATGTGTTTCTTGGCTGTGATACTACATCAAGGCTATTTGGAGTTGGGAAATGGGTCTCAGAAAGGCAGATAAAGAAATCTGATGTATTTCAGAAAAGTGCTTGTACATTTAAATTGCATGATGCCACACAAGACATGATATCAAAAGAAGGAGAACCTGCCTTTGTATCATTATTAGGAGGTAAGCTTGGGCAAACCTTTAACAAATTGAGATTACAAAAGTTTCATGAGAAAGCTGCCTCTAGTCGAGAGTCTGTTCATCCAAAAGTGCTTCCACCGACACCTGATGCTGCAAAACACCACAGCCTAAGGGTATATCATCAAGTACAATCATGGATGGGGGTAAATCTTCCACCAGAAGAATGGGGATGGGGATGAACAATGGCCACTATCTCCCAGTTGCTACAACTTTACCGGCAGGACCTTCTTCACTCTTAGAAAAGATCAAATGTAATTGTAAGACAGGTTGCACAATAATGCACTTCACATGTCGAAAGAATGGAATGGACTGTTCCATGGCATGTGGTGAATGTAGAGGAATATGTGCAAATATAAATAATGATGACTAATTGCCAACCGCAATCTCTCTTGAAGTCCAAAATCTGCAATGCCCTGTAGCAGTCTGAGATACTAGTATTTTAAGATTTCACAAATCTTTCTAAATCAGTGATTGTACTTTTATTTTAAACAAATACACTATTATACCTTCACATAAGCACATAAATAAGTGCAATGGTCCATAATTGGCACATTTGATATAAATATATGTCAAAACATACAGTATTAGCCTTACAAAATACCCCCCCCCCCCCCCCATTTTACAGATTTTTCAAATTGCAGTTATAATTTTGTCCAAAACAGGAGTCCCAAACTCTAATAAAAGTTAATATTGGATGAAATATGCCCAAATCATTCTTTAAGTTGTAGAATTGTTAAGAAATACTGCATAATTTGAAAATTATTTAGCAAAAGTAAGGTCACCCCAAAAGTGGGCGGGGCAAAAATGTAAAACTTATATATTTTTTTTCTTCCCCAATATGCCACTGATGATACTGGTATCCCATATATGTTATGTCTATATATACATGTATCACCATAATTTTTTTAATCATTTTGGAATGCACCAGTCTAGAAATATAAGAAAAGATACATGAACTGTCGATCATTTAATGACACATTTGGGGTCGTCGAGGGTGAAACAAAAAATTCTAAGCCTCAAATGAAAGTTTACTTCGGTAAAAATTTGTCTTTTGTCATTCTATTATCATAATATAACAAGAAAACTTGAAAAAACTATTCAATTATAGATAAAAAAAAAATTTTTAACAAATAGTCAAATTTAGGGGTGGGTCGTAGGGGGTACCTATGAAGTAAAATTTGACATTTGTCCACTAATTATATTTTCCTATATTTTTGATATGATATAAGGTGAATATTGATCAACAATTTAAACTAAGTTTGCAAACTATTGCAATTTGTCCTAGGTTAGGCTGTTTTTTTCCACCAATTGACTGGCCTAATAGGATAAAGCAGTTATTTACGATCGGTTTAGATATTGGGTTCATCCCTCATGAGATATGCACATCTACCTTCGGTCCCTCAGGTAGATATGCATATCTCCCTCTGGATAAACCCCATATCCAAAACCTCCCAGTATATAACCCTTATGTATCTTCAAATAAAACCTTAGCCAAGTTGATTAGAGTCTCTGGAACACTTTTGTAAATACATGTAGTTCTCACAAGCAATTTTGTTTGTGAATCTCAAATTTTGTCTTCCCGATTTCAGTCATGAATAACGCCAATTTCGCGTGCAAACTTTGGGTAGACGTTGTTATTTCCGGACACCCAAACGTGTCAGGAACACATAGACACTTGAATGATCTTGATTGGACATCAGGTTGCAGAAAAATCGTAATTTTACTGAGTGGCTTCACGAAAAAATAAAAAGACTACGCCTCGTTAACAAATACTGTTTAGACTGACTTCAATTTTTTCAAAATCATCTAGGCCTACATGTTTTTAGAAGTTCAAATCTGAATTTATATTTAAGATTTGACCTTCAATGATCTTTTTAAGGTCAAAAGGTCTTTCTTCAACTTGACCAATTTTTTTTCAAAATCATCTACAAGTTCTCAACAGTTCAAATCTGACTATAGATTTGACCTTCAATGACATTCTCAAGGTCAAAAAGATTTAACCTTCAATGACATTCTCAAGGACAAAAGGTCTTTTTTCATCTTGCTTCAAATTGACCTTTTTCAAAATCATCTACAAGTTCACAGAAGTTCAAATCTGACTTAAGATTTGAGATTTCACCTTCAGTGACCTTCTCAGGGTAAAAAAAGGTATTTTTCAACTTGCTTTTATTTTTTCAAATCATCTACAAGTTCTCAGAAATTCCCATCTGACTTAAGATTGAACTCATAATATTATGAGCAACTAGGTGGTGACGTTTTGCCATGTTAATGCCTTGTTTATTATTGTATCACATTATATGAAGGTAAATCTCCTTTTGTCACCCTGGACTAACCCGACCATGTGACTTTCCTACTAGCTTGCCTACCGATATCCATATTTTAGGGTTCAATCTACCAGTTTTTGATTATCTAATCATGAATTTACAGCCACTTTTGGCCAGACATACACCAGAAGGCAATATGTGGGATGGCAATGTGCAGCTAATGATTGTAGTGTCTGGCTATTTAGTCATTAGCACAAAGCCTTCTTCATTGTCCTTACTGGTACTGTTCTTTTCAAACAGTTATGTTTCTGTAACAAAATGTTGAAACCTCGAAGACAGGATTTTTCTTTTTCCCTTATTTCACAAGTTCAAAGACATTTTTATCACAAACATGTGTCAGTATCATATATTTAAGAAAATCTAAACATTTGTGAACAAATAGTTCAGAAGAACTAGTTTGAAAAGTGCAGTTCCAGGAATAGTACTTTATTTCCAGAAATGTTTGATTTGGTTGGTTCAAGAAATGATTTAACAAATATCAATCATATTTATTCAATACAATATATCTATTTAAGTATAATCTATATGGTTATACACAACAAGCAGTTTCAGCAATAATAAGATACCAGAAAATCATGGGGAACTTAAGAGCGCAAAATACATCCATGCTAAATTTCTCTACTAGCCCAATACGCAGATACCGCACATACATTTTTCAGAACATTTTTGCGATGAACTTTCCACTAAACAGTACACATGTTCATTCCGTATAAGCTTGATTTTCTCACATGATCCATTATGATCAAATTGAAAAACTCAAAAAGGAATGTCCGCTTAAAAATTTCACAAAGTGATATTAAAATTGTTACAAACATCAAACATCTACCATTTTTATTTTTTCAATGGTAATAAAATATACACAAATTCAATTTTTGAAAATCATCAGAAACTGTGATAATGAATTAACCGTTATTGGAAATAAGAGTAATGCCAAACATGTCTAAACAACCTGCTTTCTCCTATACTTAAAGTTACATGGACTTATACATTTGTCAAATGTTGAAGACATACATGTACATATCTTCTGATTAACCATATTCAAAACTTTTGAAACTAATTAACAGATATTTCAACTTTTCTTTATACAGAACAAATCAGATACTTAGTAATTGGCTGTTGATATGGTGTTTAAACTGGAAATAAATATATATCTGACTGCGGTCCAATGGTCAGTCAATCAAGTAAATATATATATTTCCCTCAAAATAAACCCCATATCTGAAACCTGCTGTTACATAAACCTCACGTACATAGTGTCATGAACATATAACCCATTGTCAGATAACATATACATTGAACATCTTTTATATATCATTGTGATTCAATGGATTATTTAACAGAGATCTTAATTCTTGATAGTAAATGCAAATTCTGTTATAAGAGATGAAATAGATGTACATGTAATATATATATATATATATTATATATATACGAAATAAGCTAGTTTCAACTATACACATTGTAAACACTGGAAATAGGTGGTCTAAAATGATGGATCGCAAAGTCACAGATTCCCCAAACTGACGTTCCAATGATGAATTGAGAAACTTCAGATCAGTTCCATGATTCTTCCAAAATAATCCACGAAACATATTCAAAAGTCATTGAATATATGCAAAATGTAAATAGTGAAAAAGCTAAGTTCAATGTGAACTAAGTGCTATATTGTATATATCTACTTAATGGCTAATAGCTCCACATCAAATATAAGTGTAGCATTGGGGGGAATTACCCCTGGGTAACCGCGGGGACCATAGGCATAGTCGGGAGAACAGGTTAACTTGGCTCTCTCCCCAACACTCATCTGAGCAACTCCTTCATCCCATCCTGTAACAATAGCATCAAGACAAAATGTTACAACATAGAATTGCTTGTTTGTGGATTTTGAATTTTTTGCATGTCAGGCACTCTGCAATATAGTAAATCATGTTCGAAACTTAAATACAGGTCAGTTATCTGATATGTTTTTACAAACTCCTATATGCTGATATATATAATATACAGGTGTATGCTGAATTATTTGATTTGTGCCTACTGCACTTTTTGTTGGCGCCTAGCTGAACCCTGTATATGTAAATACAGTATTGCTATAAGCTGCTTTTTAATAAAACTGACATTGGTACTGGGCTCACTTGGGAAGATTTCAATATTTTCAAAATTGAACAGTAGGAGCTAAGAATAATTAAGTTTTTAGATATGAAATTTGGAGTATACAGTAGTTTTGTACACGTACTTGGTTAGCTTAAATTGAATACATGGATCAATAAATATATTAAATACCATTTTCCACAATGAAGTTGGGACAGAGGAATTTCAGAAGCACATTAATAACCCGAGTCTTTGTGACTTGTTTTGCCAAATCGTGTAGACATTATTAATAACAGGTACCAAACAAGAGAAGTGGGTGATAACAATAGCTCACCATGTAAGCTAAAAAGAGCTGATAAAAATTAAAATTGCCACCATTTTTAATGGGCAAGCTTTTGAGACACCACTTATGGAACAATTGACCACTTTGTATTAACACATTTCAAAAGTGAAACATTTCAACGTTTGATCATATAAAAAGTGCTCGCTCGATCACATACCTTTGATGACTTGTCCTTTTCCAACCTCAAATGTAAAAACTTTCTTCCTGTCACGAGAAGAATCGAATTTTGTTCCATCTGGCAATGTTCCTGCAAATCAAGAGAAAGGAATCCTGGTTAAAACACTGAAAAGAACATTTACACCAACACTTGAAAGAACTTATCTTTCCGATAAATCCTGCCACCTTTTGATACATCAGAGAAACTTGGATATATTGACTAGCTCGATGATGTCATTGGTTGTATTTTTTGAAATTGGCAATAAGTTAATCTTGTACATACATGGTCAGATTTCTACCTACAACCAATGACAACATCAATTTAGCCAATACATCGTAGTTTTTGTATTGTATCAAAAGGTGGCGGGATTTATCAAAACAATCTATTATGGTTAAAAACCAACAGCACATACAATGTACTTATGATACAGTAAAGGATGTTCATGAACTCACAACACAATTATGGTTTTGGTAACCTCATGGACTTTAAATAAATAAATAATTGCAGATTGAGTACCAGTCTTTGTTTGATTGATTTAATAAGTGAAAACCTCACCTGTATAGTGCACTTCTACAGTCTGTCCCTGCTTGGGCTTTGTATCACCTAAAATACAGGAGAAAAATCAAATAAGTGCATGATTATATCCCAGGGTATGTAACCTAAGAATCAGAAATAGTTGTATATTGATTATAATAAAATGAATTAAAGAGGAAAAGTGAAGACAAAACAGGTAAAATCACAGATGCCAGTCAGATCATTTTGTGGTACTTTCAGTAGCTCAATTACTTTTCTTACTTTCAATGACAAATTTTGATCTGCTTCAAATTTGCCATTTTGTCAATTTTAGTTCAATAATTATGTTTCTAAATATTTTGGTAAATAATATATTCCATGTTAAGCAAGCAAACTAATTCAAATGATATCATTTGTGCAAAGATACATTATATACTTTAGGTAGGATTTTTTGCCAGAAAAAACTTAAATCAGAAAATGATCAATTTCATCTTGAATATATAATAATAATAGTACACATATCCTTAGTGCAATGCAACTATCTTGCACTAGGAAAGGGTTTCACATCACAAGAATTCAGACTAGAACAGTTATTAAGCCTACAGTCAGAATTTCTGTCATGCTAGGAGCTTTCATCAATGTTAATATTGTTTTTTAACTTCTATATTTTTGTTATATGTCAGAAAAAGTCAGTTTCCTGGTGATCCTAAATGAGATCAATTGTCAAGACACAATCCAGATATATTGCCAAGAATTCTGTGCTTTATACTGAATTTCTACGATTTGCAATTCACCTTGGCCATGATTCAAGTATCAAAATAATGTTTACAGTATTGGGAAATCAACTGAGGCCAAAAAGACACCAAATCAATGAATAAGACCAAATAAAAACTTAGGTAAAACTAGAAGTCAAAAGAGTTAAAGCACATTTAGTCTAGTGGCAGTATTTAGAATAGATAGAGCTCATTGTGATTTAGCCCCAAAATGAGTAAGGATTACTCTGGACTAAATAAAAAATAGTCCCAGCAAACAAACTGGTGAACATGAAATATTTAGAATTCACAATGGTTTGAGCTTTATTATACTCTAACAATGCAAAAAGTATGTATTTCCATTCTCCTTTGATGTTCCAAGGTAAGGTAAGATCATTGTGGTAAGCCATGCACTCTCCATCTCTATCCTTCTGGAGAGACCGTGGTCTTATGTGGACTTAATTTCGATCTCTGCGATCCTCAAATCAAGCTTTTTCGAGCTCTCCAATCAGAAGCATGAAACACGATAACGTATGTTGATTGACATGAGATTTAAGGGTGCGGTAGGTGTGGCACCTCAGTCCAACACAATACACAGAATGGCATCGCTAGTGAGTCTATTCCATCGTAAAACTTGATTTCAGTCGGGATTGTAGTTCAAACTTGAGCTTTGTTGGGATTTGGAACTGAGACTAACTTAAAGTTGAATCTAGATATGAAAAAAATTCGTTGAATAAAAACAGCTTTAGCACTTAAATATCCCGGTCTAACTCCATCCAAATCATACAGTTACATTACATGAGATCTATAGATAAAACTTTGACCGTGGTATGTTTGTTTAACACGGCTTCTTATCGCAATTTAGTCTTTATGTGTCTTAAATCAAGTATTTCTTGTTCGGTTTATCTGATTGGTCCTCATTCAATACGTCACTGCTTAAATCAATATTATGAATATTTATGCCAGCCCCTTTGATCGGCATTTCAACCTCGAAATATCAGAGCATCTGAGATGCAACAGAGAGAGATGCTATGAGTATCAGAATGAGGTAAGATGATATGTGGAAATTTTGGAGTCTTACAAATACTCCTTGAAGATTTCAAAAATTAACCTCACTTCACAGTTTTCATGTTTTCTTTAGGGACCCATACACCTTCAATTCATCGTCATGAAAAATATGTTTGTGTGATGTTCACTTTGACATATCTCTTTAATCAGGAAATGCATTGTCATATAAGGAAAAAAGGGGGATAGGGATATAAGTATAAACCTTTCAATAGATCTAGTAGGATTGTGAATTTTATTGCCAATTGTAATGTCAGTAAATAACAACATCTCAGGGCGGCGCCTAGTCCAACAACAGTAGACATAGCCTGGGGCTTCGTTTCTTATCTGACTTGTCTTATGGCCCCAGCTTGGCCTAACCTCCATCGTCGTTTTGGCATAAGTGCGTAATTTTAATAGTTCCCCTTGTTTCGACAAGCGGAACTAATTAAACCCTCATAAGATCCAGGGGGTCAACCCAGTTGTCTGAAACCCAGTTGTCCGAAACCCAATTCTCCGAAACCCAGTTCTCCGAAACCCAGTTCTCCGAAAATTAGGGGATCTTATCAAAAAATACAATTTCTTAAAACGAATCTTGTCGCAACCTCTGCGAATCACGACAGCATAACATTTGAATCACGTTGACATCATTGCAAAATTAGGCTAAATATGCTAAGTCAAGACGTTAATTAGCCCACGAAAGTTCATGGGTAACTCGAGAACTACAAAATACAACCAAATACTTTTCGAACGTACAATAGCAATATTTCTCACCTAACGTCTTCATAGTTTTAGGAACGTATTTTAAACGCATGATAGCCAAATATCAAGATACTATATCTGCCTAAATGAAGTTATCTAGTGTTGACAAAGTTTTGAAATATATTTTATCCAGATCCATCAGAAATTAACTTATCCAATACATTACTTTACTAGTTCTAGTATCTTGCATGACTCGTTCATAAGAATTCTTTAATTCTACCTTGTTCCCAATACGTCCTCAGACAGACAAGAAATTGAAGTCACACCCGTTTGTTTGCGTGGCATATTTATACGTATACGCACTTTCTCTGATTATTGTCAAACAAATACATTTCAGGAGAAGAACAAATGCCTGAAACGAATGCCGAAACATAAATCCCAAGTGATTAAGTTTAGAATGTTTTATTCTTTTACGATTTGATAAGAGACCGAGACTAACAAATTAAATGCGACGAAATATTTTGACAACGTAATTTGTATACTGTTTTATTCTTAAAGTTCTATGCGATAACTTATTTTATCTGTTTCAAAATGTTTCATTTTATTTTGCCTATATAAAAGAGATTGAAGAAGATAAGATAAACTGTTCCGTAATATATATTGTGTTTTAATAACCTTTTTTAGAATCACAATGTAAAATAAATCTCCCGTTCCTGCCATTCTGGTAACGCCATGCAATGGATGCAATTCAAAGTGAGAGAGAGATCTATGAATATCAGAATGCGTCCATGCCATTAATTTGGCCAAATACATGGCATTAAACTGACGTAAGCTTAAGTAAGCTACTCCCCCCCCCCTTCTCTGGTAAATTATGACTTTATTTTTCGGAGTAATGTGTTTCTGACAAGTGGGTTTCGGGGAATTGGGTTTCGGACAAGTGGGTTTCGGAGAACTGGGTTTCGGACAATTGGGTTTCGGATAACTGGGGTGTACCCAGATCCAGAGCTCTCGCAACGCTTTTAGAGTGTGGCAGGGCGCCATACTCTAATTGAGCTGCCACAATCTATCCATAGAAGGTAGTAACCACTGTCTAAACTGTAGTAACCACAGCCTAAATTGTTGAAAATTCAAGTTAATATTTTGTAAAATCACGATTATAAACATGAGGATCAGATGAGTTGAATCAAGATGCCAAACGTGGAGTATTCATTATATATTATTTGGAGAACTTCCCATTATCCGTGAAACCTGTGCATCGAATCATTATGAAGTCATTTGAAAAGCAAAAGGAACACCTATGCATAGGCCATAGGGTCGATATGAATTCAATTGAAAAGCAAAAGAAGAAAAAATGCCATAATTTTTTCGACCACTAATTTTTTGACCAGATTCTTCAGATTTTATCTATCATTCCTCAATAAATTATAGGCCAAATTAAAGATTCATCAGACGTTTATTGTTTGCAGAATACATACCATTGCCTGGTGTTATAATTTCCCTTTCTACGCCCATCTTTTAGGAGGAATTTTATTTTCCAAAAACCTGAAAACCGGTAGACTTGGTAGACACACAGACTAATCTCGCATTTTCTCGCGAGATTATCTGATCTGGGATCCAGGGACCGGTTACAGATTTTTCATCAGATCGCCTTCCAAAGCTCATCTACCCGGCTAGCCTATAGCTCTTTACCTCTAGGATGAGATTGACGGTTTCCATGTTTAATTCCCCTCGATATGTCCCAGGGATATGTCAATGTTGAATTCCTGCTACTGCAGTGGCGGATTTCCACCGTGACTGGCGCTCTAACCCCGGGCTCTAGCTCTAAAAGGGAGGGGGGGGGGGGCATTTCAAGCCCGAAAAAATTCCGGGCATATGTGGAAAAATCTTTAGGGCCCCTTATACCAAAATTTGGGCATAGAAGTTAAAGCCCATTTTTGATAAATTGGCCTAAAATTGAAAATAAGGCCCCGGTAACACGAGAGGATCCAGGAACCAACTAGGGCGGGGGCGGGCCCTGGTCTAGTATTTGAAGTATGAAAAAAATCCGTGGTTGCGTGGAAAAGAAATTTGGGCTACTACTTCATTCTCCGATCTCAGGGCTTCAAAATCCAGAATACTTCTGAAGGAGGTACGGATTCTGGACACCTGCTTAGGCCTATACTATGGAGGATGCACTACTCAAGTTACGTAAACGGATGACCGGGTTTGATCCTTTTTGAAATTCCGTTTACGTTACATAAGATCGATGATTCTGGGCCGAAGTTAAATACTTGGGCATGTTTCTATTTTTGACGTTTTGGGTTCTTACCATGTAAATACCGGAAAACAATATATACCAAATTATTCTGAAGTCACAGGTCTTATTTATTATGACACTTACCAGAGCATTTTACGAACCCTACTTTAAGTATGATTCGAGACAATGTAATAAAATTCAGAATTTTTATTTTTCAATCGTTTTAAGAGGGGTGCTATATATGATTATTTCTTGACACTTTTTGTGTTTGAGACAATAAAAATCTAAAACTATTTAATTCCACTGTTTTCCGGGTCGGAGGTTACAAGGGGAAATAACTACAAGGGGTTCAATGCTATTCAGTGATTTCTATCCACTTCCAACGTGTTTGAGTCAATTAGAAAAAATAATAAAACGTTTCGATTTCAATTTCCGTGAGGGGGTGCCATAGGGGATGATGCCGCATCAATCACATCTCCGTCCCCCATTGAAAATGATAGAATCATTATTTTTTATTCAATTATAATAATGCATCAATTCCTTAGATTATCGTCTTTACCATGTCATTATCAATGCAACTATGTAAAGACGCTGATTTCTCAACTTCAAAGGAAATCACTGGACCGTCAGGCTGGTTTTTTGTCTACTCGACCATGGGCTTTCAACTAAAAGCCCATGACTCGACTCATAGGAATTAAATGTTAAGTGTCATATATTTCAGAATTCATCGTTAGGTTTTAGCTGAAATCAAAAAATCTGAAGAAAAATATTGTATTTGTTTAAAATTCCTGAGATATCAAATGATTACGGTGTTGAAAATGTCACATATAAAATTTTGCGCTTTAAAATACGCAAATTCTAAATCCAGCCATCGTGCACCCGCATAAGAACAAAGAAATTTATCAAAACAAAAACATTTTAGATAGGTTTAGATATAAATTCAGATATTATTTCTCGATTCTAGAAGTATGGTCTTTTTGGAAAAAGCCTGACCGGTGTTATCGTTCAATCCATTGAACCACTGGCCATACGGCCACGGCGCGGGTGTAAGGCAGAAAACCCGATGGGCAAGTGATTAAATAGGTACTGATATATCTAAATAAATTTCGATATTCTGTGATTGGCACTCGACTTCATCTCGTGCTAATACAAAATTTCTCGAGCGCAATATATCCTGTATTGCACTTCAAAGCATTTAATAACTTATACTATTAGGTACTGATATACTTTAAGTTCTCAAAAATTGGGTATATCAGGTTCAACTTTAAATTTTCCACTTGCTTTTGAAAAGTCACAGGTAGGACATTTTTCAAAGAATATAGCTTTTTGATGGGATATCATTGGACTATGATATCATATTTGCCCATCGTGTAATACTGATATCTATGAGTCATGTCCATCGGTTTGCAACCATATTTTAAAGTTTATCATTAACTAGTCTTTCATTATCTCTAGCCGAAGAGGTTTCTACACAGTGGTACATAGGCGTCCGTCCAAAGGTCTCTATAGAACATAACGGATAGTTATTTCAGCTAATATTATACCTGTGTATTTGATTTGGAATCAACCGGGAACTAACTTACATGCGAGTCTATCAGAAAAATGTGAGTAGCTTAACATTAAAACAGATCTTAGATTTTAACCCTTGATTCTATTATTGGAATAAACTTGTCGTCATGATCATTGATTGTAAACAGGTTGCTTTTGTGTATTTGACCTATATGGAGTTTTGCCAAAATGGCGGGTCTTTCCTATTTTATTGTCCAAATATATAATGAAATATATAAAAATGCCAATGCTAGCTGCATTTGACTTCCAATTTCAGTTACTGCATGTATATATTGCATCCAAGATTGTAAGTGATGGCGTATTGCATTTCCTTGATTCATTTGAATATGACTTCTTGATATAATTATAGCTTGCTTTTTGTGTTTATTTACATAAAATTCACGACCTTTACGGTATGGAGCCTTGAGGAACTCCTAAGTTAGTATTAAAACCATAAGCTTGTAATAACTATTTATGATCGAGAAATGTTGTGCAGAGAATAGAATGAGCGAATTCGTTGTGTAAATCAACAGGTTCGAGATACACACAATTGCACAACCGGATTCATTTGACTCCAATGTGAAATTGCTTTCATCAGTGATGCTGGTTCCCCTTACCGACCCTGATTGAGTATAAACCGGTAGGAAAAGCATAATTCGGTCACTTTATAAATCAATAGAAAAGGGGACCATGATATTGAATAGGACCAAATAACAGTTAACACCTATAAGCTAAGAAGGGATGTTTTCCAGTGGTCAATGACCTGTTCCTCACAACACCGACCGATATTCATCCATTAACGACTGACTTGTCCATTTTTGGGTTTCATTTATGAAAATTGCCAAAAACAATCATTATGTATGGACTGCATGAATGACTAAGTCATTGTGATACAAGGAGATTAGCTCGCAATTAAAGCCTCGTTGTACCATTCGGTGGCTGTCGGTTTGAAGTACCCTGTTTAAGCTTTTAGATAGACGTGTTTACTCCCTGGCGCATTTGCCTTTTTATTTATTCATATTTTGAAAAAAAAGTTTTAAGAAAATAGACGCGAGGATATTTGGTATAATACAATATGTTCATTAAACCAAAGTGACCTATTAGCTTTCTTGGATGATCAAAACTTGTTTTATACATTGATATTAAAAAATTATCAATATCAAATCAATTTGAATGAAAAGTCAACTTTTGGTTGTTTGATCTAGGGTGAAGAAAACAGTAGGAGATACCCATTCGCAGATTATGTGAGATTTCATATAATAGTTGGTTATTTCTGATTCTTGTGTATTGTGCAATATGTGATTACCATGCATCATGGTAATGATGCTAAATGTGGTATAACAATCACAGTTTGATAACCACAACATCATACTGACTGCAGAACCAGATGACGGCATCATCGTAATACTGGGATCTGAGATATTTGCCCCTAAAAACCAATACATGGTGTACATAATGTGTTATATATATCATTTATTTACCTCAATCTCAATAACCTAGATGCGAGTAGAAATAATATTGATTTACGTCATTAAAAATTCGTAATTCAGTCAAACTGATGTCATATTTGGAATCTACATGTAAAATTACACCTAAATATGTGGTTTTGAAAAGAGTTTATCAACTTTGAAAAATTAATTTTCTTTGAAAATGTGTTTTCTAGGTCGGGGAGATTCCCCATAGACCCTATGCTGTAAAACCACAAAAAGTGAAATATCTTTTCTTGTGTTGGGCATATAATATTTTCTTTTACTGGACATATTTTAATTTGTAACTCTATCACATACGTAATGGTAATATGAAAAGTTAACCACTAAAACTGATGAATATTCAAGTTTAAGGGAATTTTGTAATACCCTGCCATGTTATTTCCCCCGAATCAGCCACCTGGTGGCGAAACTGGTAACTACCTACTCGCATCTGAGTAATTAATGTTAATCATGTAACTATCAGTATTGATACTTGACACCATCCGTATATCTACGAGTGTTTTGTATTACAATATCAACACCTACAATGAAATTAAAGCTATGACTCAAATACCTTATTGATATGGACATTATAGACTTTTTATGAACTCATACTCCCCCACATACTAGATAGTATTCTTTAAATCAAGATAGAGAGAAATATGCATTTTATCTCGATATGTATCGTTGTAGTTGTTTATAAGGTCACAATCTCACACGATTACCAGTTGTTTATTTAAAGTGATAACATTCACCCGTCCTCAAATCACTTAAAAATAAAATATGAACAGTTAAAGTATGATGAATCACGGAATCGGGAATAGTTAAACATTCAGATTGTTTGGAATATCGTTAATCCCTTGGACTATTGTTTGGTTTGGTCAATGTATGGTCTTCTATGTACTTCATTGTTCTGTTTTTGGACAACAATTAAAGGAGTATACCCCACCAGTATTTTTCATCTTTGAAGACCTTTCCTTGGTGACCTTTCGATTTCAATTTGGTTTATGCTTGTGTAGCCCATTGTCTTATATGTTTACATGCATCTCTGCAAGAGATCATCTTTTTCGAATAAGATATTGGACTCTATATGGTTGAATTTATGATGTTTATAGCATTATTAGTGTCTAAGTAATCATAGTCAGGATGACCCACATTTATTATGAAAGTGACTTTCGACATGCATCTGAAGACATCAACTCTATTTGTTTATTGGCATTCTGTTTTGAATGTTTTTAAGGTTATCAGAAAAGGATATTGGACGGTATTCTGTTTATGTATATTTTATTACAAGTTGCAAACATACATACTATATTTTGTGATAACACTGGATAGCTGTATTTATCATGATGGGTACTTGACCTATGGAAGACATGTACATACATATATAATACTCGTATATTAGTATTTCATATAATTGGCGGGAGGGATTACTGTGCCTCTTCAGTTTCATGATAGGCCACTTTATAAAATTTGTAAAACGCATCAATGAGTATATTTAGACTTTGATATCAAATATGTGTGTGATTTGCGGAAAAAAAACATATCGAAGGGTATCTTTAACCCAATTAGCCTACGTCTCTTTCGTCATGCCTTCTGTGTTTTCATGTCTTACACCCACTATATCGTCTCATTTGCTTTACCAACCCGGTCACCATCAATCTTGTTGTTCTTCTTCCTTGTTTTGTTATATCTTCCACCCAACTACTTCTCCTTTTCTAAGTCCTCCGTCTTTCACCTACATTGTCGTCTCTTTCTCTTTGCCTAGCTTGTAAGGATGCGCCATGTCTCATATCTTTTGTTGTTTTCCACCAAACGCGTCGTCTCACTCGCCACTGGTCTTCTGCCGATATGTGTTCTCTTTGGGCATGTCATCAACTTGCAATATTTTGACCTTATTTGTTTTCGATAATTTCTCCAAATCATATCTTCTCCCGAGCTATGCCTACTGTCTCAAGCTGCAATGATTTCCACCCTTCTCTTCCGCTATATGTCCAGCACTCTTCTCACTCTTGGTCTCCAATTGTTTTGTCTTGTTTTGTATCCGGCTTGCTTTTTAGGCTTTGGTTACAAAGTCACTTTCATATGTTTGTTTTTATTTCAAATGATGACGCATGTATTTATTTTTCAGCACCATGAAGCTATATAGCTATAATAACGTTGTTGCCTCTAGTGGCGGTGTACTGCATTCCATCACTTACAGACTTTGAAGACGTTGAAGAATTGTTGGGTCATAGGTCGAAGAGACAAAGTGGAATCAGTGACGACAATAACAGAGATCCTCATCTCATAGATACAAGAAGGTAGGTATTTCAAGTCTCAAGAAAGGTTTACGGTTTGTTTCAAAGATTTTTTGGGTCATTCTCAAACTGATGTACCTTTAATTTGTGGTATGAAGTTTTGGATTGATAAAAAGATGGCGATGTGGTTTGCTTATATCTGGATCTAGACAAATTCATTGCCATCTTTCTATCAAATCAATATTCTATGATTATGCCTAATGTACAGTATAATGTAGAGGTACTGTTTTCATTGGTTTCCAGTCTGCCATACAGACGTGATGACCGATGGACACTAGACTACAGGTACATGCCCGTGGTGGGCAATGGCCACATGGCAATGTCGGTGTACAACGACTCTATATTTCTTGACGGTGTATATAACGGCAGGGGTGGTAAGAATATTTTATGAATTATGCTTCTATTGCAAATTATCTCCTCGTGGATCTTTTTTTCAATTTGTAAAAGCCAATTACACTGTACTTAGTTACCAATTTTAGACGAAATAAAACAATTTGACATTTGTTGCTGGGGGAAGACTCGTTCTACTTTGAAACTATTTTAGGTTAACATGCGCCAAAGTTAGCAAATGGTAAGACTACGGAAACATTCAAAGTACAAAATGCAAGCCACAAGGAAACAAAATACTAGTATATCGTAAACGATAGTTCAAAGTACAAAGACACCATGTCGAATGATCCAACTTCCTCCACGTTTCAAAAAACCATCACAATCCAAAACCACAAGACAATGAAACATTTCCGTCAAGCCATATTATGTTAGAAGAGGAAATCGTTGATGTGAGTCAAGACACAATGGGGTTTTCGTAAAACACCGACCACCGACCACCGACCAGTCACTCTCCACAGTTGGGTACATGTGGTCGGTGGTCGGCTGACGGTCTTTTACATAAGGATGAAAAAATGCAAAATTAGAAGTAAAACTAAAACTGGGAATCCAATGACTATACAGGGTGTCAAAAAACAACGGCAGTACCTTTACTAGGTCGTGATTTAAAAACGTATAATTATCATTTCAAATCACGATGAAAACGTTACATCGTCGTGGTGTGTAATGTCATATTTTCGTGATGTTTCAGTTGTTAGAAGACCAATTTCATCCTGGTTAGTCACTTTGGAAAAAAACGCACGTAACATTGCATTAAGTTCATTCTTCATTCATATGAAACCCAATAACAAAAACACACAAACATCGTCGATGTTGACGTTGTAACGTTATGTTTGATTTCTCAGTTGTTAAACGTCAACTGGTAAAAACTACATTTGATATGACAAAAGCTTTCTAATGGTGTACTGAAATGGTAAGTCACTTTTAATCCCGATAAGAGAACGCATGTAACATTATATCGTGTTCCGTATTCAGTAGGCTATGACGATAACAAATCATTTTTGTTTCGAAATTGTTAAATTTCAGTAAAAAATTAGGATAGATTCCCGTAGAAACGATAGGTTGGTTAATGATAGGTTAGGACCTAAGGCAGGACAATTTATCGAGAGGAGACGGTCATGACCAATTTGTTTGCGTGCCATTCGTTGCAAGGTACGAAATCGGTAAAAAACGTTGCCTAGTCCAACGATTGACATTCAAAATCAAATTATTAAATTCTAAGGCTACAAATATGTTCGGTCTTTTACATGATATGGTCGGTCTTTTACACATTTTCTTCAAACCCTGTTTTGAGGCTACCAGTGGAAAACACCGACCGGTCGGTGGTCGGTGGGGTCGGTCTTTTCCAAAAACCCGACACAATGAATCTATTTTGATTTTTTACAGAGTTCAGTCGAAGAGCCAGGATCCCCGCAGAAGCTGCGCTCAGGGTCAACTTCAGTTCTAGCGTCACCAACATTCAGAGGAGGTTTAGATTTAACCTTGACACTGGTAAGTCGAAATGTCAATGCAAATAAACAATGACATCGAAAAGTCGATTATAAAAATTAGTTCTTCAATGTACCTTTAGAGATTTCAAGCAACATGCTTCAAGAAAATAGTCTTATCTTTCTGTTAGGATCGGTATAGGTACTAAAACAGCTGATCCATGGATATTCGTCATTTTGAAATGTTCATGTTCTCTTCCTCTAGGTGTATTTGAAGAAAACATAACCCTACCTCACTGTGATATCGTTCATCGTACGTACTGCCACAAGTACTATACCAGGGTGTTTATCCAGGAGATTATTATGACCCCAAGAACTGGGCAGATCCAACAATGTAAACTTCAACTGGATCACCTCAGGGATAACTATACAGACGATTTCGAGATCTTCAAGAAAGAACCTTTTAATAACGCCGATTGGTAAGAATGAATAAAATACTGGTATTATCGATGATTTTATATAGTCCCAATCATTGACTATACCATTACAATTAATTACCTTGCAGGACGAGGCGCTTAAGAACCCATGTTGCAGAAGGCGATGGTGCAAGTCCCCGAGATGTCTACATGTTCTTTGATGATATTCCTCGGGATTTATCTTTACCTAGGAATGCACAAAACCCCCAAAGAAATGTATTCGTCATGACTTTAGATACAGACAGATCCAGGGCAGAGAGAGCATATACGGAGGTTCAGCGGGTTTTATCTACAACCAATGGTTATAATGAACTCTATAAAGATCATCTTGACGCTTGGAGGATACTATGGCAGTATGCTAGGATAGAAATAGAGGGGAATGTTCGATTGGCAAAAGTTACAAAAGCTGCACTGTACTATATGATGAGCTCTCTTCCTCCTCTAGTGCGGGAAACTGGAGGTCCACAGGATACGTACCAACCTGCCAATCCGTTTATGGGATTAGCTCGCAGTGGATTGGGGGCCGGATGTAACACAACCGATTACAATGGGCATGTTTTCTGGGATCACGAAATGTTCATGATGCCCCCGATGACCATTTTGTACCCAAGTATTGGCAAGGAAATGCTGATGTACCGCATGAACAGGCGATCTGCCGCCAAAGAGAGAGCAAGTCAGACGGGAAACCAGGGTGAGCGATTCCCATGGGAGAGTGCTATCACTGGTCGAGAAATAACTACAAGCTATGCAAAGTTCCAACAAGAATACGCCCACCACATCACTGGAGCAGTAGGCTGGGCTGCAAGGAATTACTACTCAGCCACTCGTGACCAGGAATTTATGGATAGCAATGGTGGTTGTGATTTCTCAAAGGAAATAGCACGTTTCTGGCAAAATAAGATGAAATGGAATAACACAAAAGCCAGATGGGACCTCAATGGTAAGTAAGATCCTCAACACTGCTGGAGTTTCATAATTTAGTTTTGACCTTAAGCAAGACATTTATTTTCACAGTGAGGTGTAGAATAAGACACGTTCCACGTTTGAAAAGCCTTATTTCATACGTAATTGTTTTTGAACATCTTTACCGAAACGTGAAAAGGAGTGAAATGAATCAAAAATATAATATAATTGTGAAAAATCAATTTGGTTCTCTGTTAACTTTGTTGAGGGAGAGATCTAGAATGATTGTGAACTCTATGCCTTAAAACTAACATTTGACTGTTTTGTAGAATGCCAAGGTCCAAACGATTTACACAGTTATGTGAACAACAATGCTTATACAAACGCATTAGCCACATTATCAATCCAGTGGGCAAGATACGTTGCCTGTTTATGTAGGTGAGTGAGTTTGGTGGGGCCATTGTTAGTGCAAACACACAACTGGGTGACTATATTCATCAAGGGATTCACCAGGGGGCTGCCAATGTCACACCTTCACACAATACAGCATTTTTAAACGACCAGTCATTTGGGTTAAAAGATGGCCTTTGGTGGTAACGTGATCAAGTTCACTCCACGAAATGCGAAATGCTTTTGGAAATGTTTCTATACCTTGCAACAAATTATGCGGCAAAAACCTGTGTATCGGGCTAGTTAAGGACCATGTCGAAAGGAAACATGGATACCTTATATAACTAAGAATAAGAACTAGAAGTGATAACATTAGAATTTTGGACTGAAGCGTGTATAATTGTACCATTTGCATTCGTTTGACTTCACTTCTTAAAGGAGAGCTTCGTCTGTAGTTTAAAGGCAGAATCTGATCTATAGGGGGTGACAAAATTACAAGAACACATGTATAATTGACTACCAATCTATTCCTTACAATATCAAATAGAATATCTCCCAAACGATCTACAATATGTTATAAATTGGTGAAGTTACTAATGATTCAAAGTGCAAAAATGAGTGACAAATGTTTAAATTCTCCCAAATAACACCATTCTTATAGAAAAATAATACATAGTTGTAAAAATCTTTAGTTTTCCTGGAATAAGGTATGCACTTTTGTGATTTTTAGAAAATAGACATGACAAGGAATGACACGAGACAAAAATATTCTAAAATTGAAAGAATTTTTTGTTTAGCCTGCTTGCTATATCTGATTCTCTCTTTAACTAGACTCTGCGCGCAGGGTAGTAATATTGAATCCTTTTCTAGTTATCATATTGACTTTACATACCTCTCATCATCCCTTATTTTGGCCAGTTCTCAGAAAAGTTGAAAGCGCCTGTTCTTGGAAACACAAAGGGCTAGAGTTATCCTTACATGGGGATGAAGGGAATTCTGAATTTAAACTACATTATCATCAAGAAAAGAATTAAATTTTCCGAACGCCATGTCAAGGAAGACATTGGGAGGTCAAACATGGATCCTTCATTTCTTCATTCGCAGATATTACTATTATTTTACCATTAATGATTGTTGTTCCATTATTTTAGACGAAACGAGAAAGATGAAATTCCTGATGAATGGATGAGGCGCTCTGTTGACCTTTACATGCCTTATAACGACAGGTACAGGCGTCACGATGAATTTGACGACTATGAATACAGAGCTGGTAAATACTCTTAATTATCTTTTTTTATTATATATTATATTTATTTATTATTTTCTCTTTATTGTTATTTATACTTTTTTTAAATAAAATTACTTCTGTGAGGTTGAGAGTATTTCGAATGTCAACGGCTAAAAATTGAAAATAAAATGCAAACACAAAAATCTGGATTGAAAAAATGATTTTCATCGAATTTTGCGAAGGGATAAATTCTTATTAGCACTGGATAAATACAGAGTGTCCACAAAGTCTCCTTATACTGTATACTTTGCATTGTAATTGTAAAAATACTGTATGGACACCCTATATCTTGCATATCCATCGATGGAATACATGGTACCCCGGGAGGGTACCCTTCCTTGGTACTCCTTGGTATTTTCAATGAATAATACACTGATTATGGATTCGTCATCTACAGGTAACCAGTCTCTCAAACAAGCGGACACAACACTTCTGCATTACCCACTTGGCTGGAACACAACGAAGGAGATAATGCGTAACGATCTGGAGTTCTATGAAGGAAAACTGAACTCTAACCCCCCAGCCTTGACTTATAGTGTCCATGCTATAGGATGGCTAAGAGTACCGGATAAGAGTCGGGCTGATTCTATGTTTGAAAGAAGTTATAGCTCTTATGTGCAAGAACCATTTAAGGTAATCTAACGTAATTACATTACCAATGTTTGCATATTTAAGAGGTCTCGCCAGAAATACACTTGAAAATCAAAAGCTAGACCAAAACCAAAAAACATTGTTCGTCGGTTCAATTTATTCTTTCCATTGATCTTAGTATTAAGTTCTAATTTTGACTATAACATTCTAACTATGCAGACATGGACAGAGTACCCAAATTATCAAGGTTCGGTGAACTTTCTTCCTGGGATGGGAGGCTTCTTGTCTACATTGTTGTTTGGTTATGCTGGTATCCACATTAAACCCGAAGAGATGATGGTCTACCCTCCTACTCTACCACCCGGTGTTAACACGATGAGAATATACGGTGTACATTATCTTGGAAACAGGTGAGTCAATGAAATATAAATGTGTAAAGTACTTTAAAACAATTGAGTAAATGAAAATTACTGTGTATATTTAGAAACAAATGGACTGAATGACTAACGAGGTAAGCGAGTTATAGATAAACTGTGCATTTTAGAAATGATTAAATGACGGACATTTGCTATGTAAAGTATTCTAAAAACAATAAAGAAACTGACAGTTACTGGGTAAAATATTAATTTGAGTAGCTAAAATGTGATTTTAGAAATACAGGGTGGTCAAAAAAAATGGCAACCCTAATTTTTCCTCATATCTTTGTCATTTTTGGAAATTTTGCCCTGATATTTGGCACACATGTACATCATTCAATTTCATACTAGACTGTGTTATTTCATGAAAATTGGACAGATAATCGCAATGTTGCAGCACTTTAAACAAGATGCCCCAGTTCTCCTATATCGTGCTGTAGGCAAACCTGCACATGTTTTCCAAACCTGTCAGTGACATAACAGCATCCCTCAGCAAGTATGGCCTGAATGACACATGTGATCTTTATTTTGAGGTCAAATGTCTTTCTGGTGTTATTACCCTACACTCTATCTTTTGGGTATCCCCACTGGTAAAGATTAAATGGGGCCATATCTGGACTATGGGGTGCCCATTCATTGTCTGTTGTACTGCTGATAATGTGGTCATTGAAGTGGTCCCAAAGCCAATATTGTGCATCATTTGGTGTATGGGGCATGGTTCTGTCTTGTTGGAACCACTGTTGCTGCCTTTCAACCACCCTGGGTTCACCTAAAGTCCCCAAGAACTCCATGGGAATCATGGACTTTGACTTTGATGTTGACAGTTATTGCATATATGTTAGCATCATCAAAGGTAAAGGACCCAATCTTCTGAGAACACACTAAACTGTGCATCTGTCTGTGTGAAAGTGCCTCTCCACTACTTCATAAAGTGCTTGGCTCCCCAAGAATACATAATTGTTACAGTTCACCAGTGCATCAAGTTGAAAATGGAGTTCATTTGGATAACAGACCAGCTCAGACAGCCCGAAAGTGGCCATCTGGGGTATGTTGCTTAAAATGCAGTAATATTGTGACTATCAGTCCGATGGTCAGGAAATATGCACTGGCGGATCTGGGGGGGGGGCCCAGGGGCCCGGGCCCCCCCCCTTGGGTGGGCCCAGAAAAAAAAAATTGTGCCCAAAAAAAAATTTGAGCCAAAAAAGGCCTTAAGGGACCAAAAAGTAGGCCTTTTTGGTCATAAATTGGCCTACTAAGGCCTTATTTTTTAATTTTAGGCCAAATATATGAAGAAAATGGGCCTCAAAATTTCAAAATTTGGGCCCACTTTTGGATTTTTGGGGCCCAAAATATTTTTTCCACCGTTTTTTCTTAGACCAGAAGTTTGGGCCCCCCCCCCTTGTTGGTTCCCAGATCCGCCCCTGATATGGTAGGTTGGTAGGAAATTGAATGATGTACAAATGTGTAAAATATCAGGGAGTTATTCCTTAGAATGACAAAGATATTAGGAAAAACTAGGGTTGCCGTTTTTTTTGACCACCCTGTATAAGTAACAGAAACATTTTGTGTTTTAGAAGTCAATTGAATGACTACAATTTATTTTGTGAAATATACAATATCCCAAAAGAATTAAATCAGGAAAAAACGAGGTTCTAGCCGATGTCATTGTTTCAGTGAATTGAAATTGTGCAATTACACATTCGTTGCATTGCTATTGTTGGTTTCCTCTTAAACTGTTAAATACATCCCTTCATCATTCCCTTTGTACGTTTTAGCTTGGAGTTTGAAATCCAAAGTAGTGGTGTAACATTACGAAATACCGGAGGAGATGGGAAACATCAACTTAGAGTGCGTTTGAACAACACTATGGAGGGGGGTCGTCCAGAAGAACGAGAATTTCGTCAAGGTAAGTCAATTGTTTTGATCTACATCCTTACTATTTGCAACTCGTCTTTTTATTTTCATTTTTTGAATTACGACAAATGCATTTTGAACAAGGGGCGAATGTAGATTCACTGATATTTTTAAATCTTGATAAGATACATATTATATTTCTGTTTAACGTATTTTAAGCGCATCTTTCGTTTCCAGGGTCTTCTATCCAAGCAACAAATACAGGGTTGACGATCTTCAGTACAACTGTGACCAACTGCAAACCACCAGATGATACACTCAGAGTTCGTTATAGTCCTGTGTTTGGTGCTGCACCCCGCATTTCATATTCAATCGTTCTAGTTACCACATTTTTACTTTTACTAACTTTTATTGTTGAAAGAACAATATTACATTATGTGTGAACGAAGTGGACAGTTTTTGTACAATGTACAGGAGTTTCTATCGCATACTTTTAAAGCGTATGACTACGTAGGGTAGAGCTCATTCAAAATTTGGAGTACATATGTATAACACGTTGTTAAGTAAACTCGGACGTGAAGAATTATGGTCTTCTAGCTAGGGATTTGTTATCATTTACTTGCATGAAGATCAAGGTAAATAGTTGTTATTAGGTCACTGGAAAATCCATGAGGGGACAGAAATCCAGGGGGTCATAATATTACACGTTCACATACCAATTCTTTTAAAACGTGCAACACTATGTAAATAATCCAACGTTAGGTTACAAGTATACAATTTGATTCAAATACAAACGTTTATTGTATTTCATCTGCACGTAACTTACTATTGTTTTATATGAGGATTCACCTGTAACATCGCCATCTTTTGTTTTTTCTATGTTAGTTTAAACTGCATCAACGTTATCAAAGTCCATCAAGCTATGGCCAACTAAAGGATCGCAAAGGAGAATAGTGTGATGAAAGTAGCGTTAGTGGCTTGATCAAATGAGATCTTGGATATATAAAGATAAAACATCTCTTCATTTTATTATATTGAGTGTCCTTTGGGATAACTTATAGCCTTTGCATTCGTTCGACTTCACTTCTTAAAAGAGAGCTTTGGCATGCAAAGAAACATCATAATAATGATATGATATGTTATTGAAGGGCATTAGATGACAAATTGTTGGGCCCTGTTTCTGATAGTACATACTTTTGAACGCATTTTTATAAGAGTTGTAGATATGTATTTGTACTCGTATTTTTAACAACTTTGATGTCTTTTGTACATACTAGTGATCACGATTCAAGAATCATTTTGTATATGATGCATATTCAACGGGGATATACATACTTTTCTAATTATAAAATAAACATTGTATTATATTTGTACATGTAATAAATACAAATAGTTGTATTTCGCTTATATTCAGACATAAATTAATTCAGAAACATACCCAATAAAAATACACTAAAGGAAGAACGATTTCATTAATTGACGGTTATATCATTTCGAAAGTGGTTGGCTTGAAATTCCATATCTAAAAGTACCGGTAAATGGAATTGACATTATAGTTATATTTTGTAACACCCAAAGGGAAAAACATATATTGCCCCAACTTAAAAAGCTGATACATACATATATTTAACTAATTCTGGCGGATGAGTGATTATCTTTACAAACAATTTGTCTAGACTCCTGGGCAATACCCAACAATAAAAAAACACCTGACTATACTAATTAACTCCTACAAAGCAAGAGAACTGGTGAAGTCAGCTAGTCGTGTGTTAATATATGAATTCAAAACTACAGGCGGAATATACTCCAAAAACTGTACTACTGTATTTTTTGACGCTGAATGGTGATGCCTGTTAATGCGATGGTTAGGCGTAATACCGTATAGTATAGTAGGAACAAGGGGTTCCCATGCACCCATAAGGTGTGAATAAGTTACATACATTTTTGTAATCCCTAGGGTGTCTATTTAATGAATTCATTTGTTAACATTGCCAACTAATGTCCCATAGTACTTTTATGGCGGCATTCAGTTACCATGGTTACGCATCTTTAGACATCTTACCTTGGTATCTTAAATCATTTGTAGCTCTGTCATTATTTGGTCTATAGAAATGATATTGGTACCAAATTGAACCTCGTTAAATTTTCAATAAATTTCTGATATTCAATAATGCAAATTATCTAATTTGCATAAATTATGACGTCATCAATCTATTTTTGGTTCAGAATTTCCAACTATAGCAATGTATCTATTAGAACTGAGGCCGTATGGCAAAATTTCTGAAAGGTTTTGTCCTTTATTCTATTAGTAGAAGGTATAAACAACATAAAAGTGAAAACAGATTCAAAATTGAATCAGTATTACAAAAGTTATGTAACTTTCGAGGCAGCTATCGTGAATGTCATTATTTGACAATAATATACATACGTCTTACCTTGGAGTCTTGAATCAATGAAGCTTCGTCATTATTTGGTCTATAGAGATGATATTGGTATCTGATTAAACCTTATTAAGTTTACTATATGGTTACAATATTCAGTTATGCAAATTAGCTAATTTGCATTAATTGTGACGTCATCAATCCATTTTTGGTTCTACATATCCTAGTATAGCAACATATCTATTAGAACTGAGGCCGTATGACAGAATTTGTGCATAGTTTTGTCCCTTATTTGATGAGTGGAAAATATAAGCAACATTAAAGATACAGCAAATCTTCAAAATTGGATCAGAATTAACAAAATTATCCAGCTTTGGAGGCAGCTACTGTGAACGTCATTGTTTGACAATTATAAAAAGAATATTAAATTAACAAAAAAAAGTAACAACCATAGTTGTTTCAATCTTATTGAGTAAAAATGTGCATGTATTGAACTGAACTAATAAGTATGTGGAAAGGTTACATGTATTTTGACTATCATTCACAGGGGTCAAAACTGTTATCTCGACCCTGTATATTAAAGATCCAATTTTATAATTTACCATGCACTTTCAATGATTCATATAAATAGTATACATATAGTCTGATTTTTATCATATTCTTCATATTCTTGATTCTTAAAGTATCTGAAGTATAAAGCATGATTAGAAGTGAAGATGATTCATCATATGGTTTATGTAATATTTCTAACATTTCAGATGCTATGGTAACATCACTTGATAATGAGGTTTTACATTTCACGTTCTTAAGGAGTTAAAAGAAAGTTATTCTCCCTTTGCTTTAGAGATAAATAGTCACATGAATTTGTTTAAAAAAATTATAACTTAATTTAACCCCCTCCTGACAGCCCCAATATTTGAAGATTTTGGTGAAACCTGGCAAAATACATTAATTATTAGGTTCCAGAAGCCCCGAGAAGCTATATGATGGCCCCCAGTGGCCCCAAGAATCTATACAGGGGCCCCAAGTGGCCCCCAGAAGGTATACGATGGCCCCCAGAAGCTAAACAAGGGCCCACAGAAACTATACTGTGGTCTCCAGAAGCTATATGGTGGCCCCCAGTGGCCCTCAGAAGCTAAATGATGGCCCCCAGAAGCTAATTAGTGGCCCCCAGGAGCTATATGGTGGCACCCAGAAGCTATACAGGGAACCCCAGTGGCCCCAAGAAGCTATACAATGGCCCCCAGAAGCTATACAGCAGCCCCCAGAAGCTACACGATGGCCCCCAGAATCTATATGATGGCCCCCAATGGCTCCCAGAAGCTATACAGGGCCCCCAGTAGCCCCTAGAAGCTATACGGTGGCCCCTAAAGCTATATGGTGGTCCATTGGGGGACACTGTATAGCTTCTGGAGGCCATCGTATAGCTTATGGGGGCTACCGTATAGTTTCTGCGGGCCCTTGCATAGCTTCTGGGGGCCATCGTATAGCTTCTGGGAGCCACTGGGTGCCCCTGTATAGCTTCTGGGGGCTACAGTACAGTTTCTGCAGGCCCTTGCATAGCTTCTGGGGGCCATCGTATAGCTTCTGGGAGCCACTGTGGGCCCCTGTATAGCTTCTGGGGGCCACTATATAGCTTTTGGGGCTACTGAGGGCCACCATATAGCTTCTAGGGGCTACTGGGGGGCCCTTTATAGCTTCTGGGAGCCATTGGGGGCCACCATATAGATTCTGGGGGCCATTGTGTAGCTTCTGGGAACCACCATGTAGCTCCTGAGGGTCACTATTTAGCTTCTGGGGGCCACCGTATAGCTTCTAGGGGCTACTTGGGGCCCTTCACATCTTCTGGGAGCCATTGGGGGCCATCATATAGATTCTTGGGGCCATCATGTAGCTTTTTTGGGCTGCTGTATAGCTTCTGGGGGCCATCGTTTAGCTTCTTGGGGCCACTGGGGTCCCCTGTATAGCTTCTGGGAGCCACCGTATGGCTCCTGGGGGCCACTAATTAGCTTCTGGAGGCCATCATATAGCTTCCGAGGGCCACTAGGGGCCACCATAAAGCTTCTGGAGACCATAGTGTAGTTTCTGGGGGCCACTATTCAGCTTCTGGGGGCCAACATTTAGCTTCTGGGGAGCACAGTATAGCTTCTGGGGGCCACTTGGGGCCCCTGTACAGATTCTTGGGGCCACTGGGGGCCATCATATAGCTTCTGGGCCTGGGGGCTTCTGGAACATAATAATTAATGCCAGGTTTCTGGTTTCACCAAAATCTTCAAATATGGGGGCTGTCGGGGGGGGGGTTAAATTAATTAAGTTATAATTTTTCTAAACAAATTCATGCGACTATTTATCTCTAAAGCAAAGGGAGAATAACTTCCTTTTAACTCATTAAGAACGTGAAATGTAAAAACCTCATTATCAAGTGATGTTACCATAGCATCTGAAATGTTAGAAATATTACATAAACCATATGATAAATCATCTTCACTTCTAATCATGCTATATACTTCAGATGCTTTAAGAATCAAGAATATGAAGAATATGATGAAAATCAGACTATAAGTATGCTATTTATATGAATCATTGAAAGTGCATGGTAAATTATAAGATTGGATCTTTAATATGCAGGGTCGAGATAACCGTTTTGACCCCTGTGAATGATAATCAAAATGCATGTAACCTTTCCACATACTTATTAGATCAGTTCAATACATGCACATTTTTACTCAATAAGATTGAAACAACTATGGTTGTTACATTTTTTGTTAATTTAATGTTCTTTTTATAATTGTCAAACAATGACGTTCACAGTAGCTGCCTCCGAAGCTGGATAATTCTGTTAATTCTGATCCAATTTTAAAGATTTGTTGTCTCTTTAATGTTGCTTATATCTTCCACTCATCAAATAAGGGACAAAACTATGCGCACATTCTGTCATACGGCCTCAGTTCTAATAGATATGTTGCTATACTACGATATTCTGAACAAAAAATGGATTGATGACGTCACAATTGATGCAAATTAGCTAATTTGCATAACTTAAAATTGTAACCATATAGTAAATTTAATAATGTTTAATCAGATACCAATATCATCTCTATAGACCAAATAATGGCGAAGCTACATTGATTCAAGACTCCAAGGTAAGACGTATGTATATTATTGTCAAATAATGACATTCACGATAGCTGCCTCGAAAGTTACATAACTTTCGTAATACTGGATTCAATTTTGAATCTGTTTTCATTTTTATGTTACTTATACCTTCTACTAATAGAATAAAGGACAAAACCTTTCAGAAATTTTGCCATACGGCCTCAGTTCTAATAGATACATTGCTATAGTTGGAAATTCTGAACCAAAAATAGATTGATGACGTCATAATTTATGCAAATTAGATAATTTGCATAATTGAATATCAGAAATTTATTGGAAATTTAACGAGGTTTAATTTGGTACCAATATCATTTCTATAGACCAAATCATGACAGAGCTACAAATGATTTAAGATACCAAGGTAAGATGTCTTAAGATGCGTAACCATGGTAACTGAATGCCGCCATAAAAGTACCATGGGACATTAGTTGGCAATGTTAACAAATGAATTCATTAAATAGACACCCTAGGGATTACAAAAATGTATGTAACTTATTCACACCTTATGGGTGCATGGGAACCCCTTGTTCCTACTATACTAGTACTCCCGAGACCGCATTCTGATTTATCAGAGCCCCTCTTTACCTAACGCTTTTGAGCTATTCCAAAAGGATAGTAAAGGCTGTGGATCCCACAATGCCGGGACCGTACTATGCAATTTATGATTCGGAATTATATTATACAATCTTCTACCTAGACGAAATGATATGCCAAAATCTAGCGGAATCGAGGTAGGAAGAGACGATCCTACCAAAACTAAATAAAAGTACCACTTTGTAAGGTATTATTTTTGTAGACATAAACTTAAACTACCCAGTCAATGTGTTTGAACGCACAGTAGTGATGGACCATTGGTGGTCATTTCAATTCGATGCGAAGCCTTATATTATATAGTTTTATTCCCGACGATGATAAGTTAAAGAAAATTTTAAGAAAAGTTGAGTTGTATTTCATGTGTTTAACAACTTCTTGTTTCAAACAATCCCAGGTTCCATTTTTAGTCAGTCCTTTGTCATAATTGAAAAGAATGGATATAACTGATTAGAGCATCAATAAAAATTGGGGGGAAATAACTTAATACTCTACATACTTTTCCGAGATGAGAGAAAGCCATTTAAAATGGCCAAATAAGTAAGTAACTACTGAATTAATTGGGATTCTGTGTAAACTGTTTTTATCGCAATTAGTTGTTATTTATAAATGCTGTATTTTACTGTTGACGTAGTACTGGCATTTGTTTGAAAGTATATCGGCACTGTTTTGTCATGTAACAACTTATACTGTTACAACTTTTACAGCCAAATGATGTCTTGGTAATGAAAGGGTTATATTGAAGTTCCCAAATTATTGGATAATTTCCTTTCCTTCCAATGGTTAAATTTTCATGTGTTCAAATCGAGGCCAAATATATCAGCAGCCAAATCACAAGTGAGCATTATGGAATTGAGAGCTATTGAGAGTAGAACACTCGTGCCAAACGTTAAGTGTAACAGTTAGTCGAGGGAGCAACCGCTCCAAAACGAGTTTCAGCATCATCACTGTTTGATCGGCAACACAAACTCCAAGCACTGGTGATCCACTCGATTACGCTGGTTACCGAAACGGTTCGTTTCGGTAAAAAAATGTCGGAACGTCGAAAGTACGATTTTTCTTTTTTTCCTTATTTCACACGTTGTGGGCAGAATTCCCACAACATTTTTATCATCAAATGTATATCAGTATCATATGTTTAATAAAATGTACATATTTGCGAACAAATAGTTCAAGAGACAACAGAATCGTCGATTTAAATCCTCACTTAAGTTACAGAAACGGTATTTCGAAAAACAGTTAAGATCTGCTCTTTTAACCCATACCGTTTCTGTAACTTAAGTGAGAAATTAAATCGACGATTCTGTTGTCTTCATTGCTATTTTTTCGCAAACATGTACATTTTCTAAAACATATGATAATGATACACGAGTGGATCAGCATTGCCAAGGCTATTTATTAATAAAACATTTCCATTTTGCAAATATTATGTTTATTTGTCTAACGGTCTATGTTAGCTTCCATAATAATACTTGCAAACAGGGTAAAGGGAACGGGAAAGAAAAAATATCGGAACAGCTAGTACAACATCCATTTATTAATTGAGTTTTGCTCAAAATTACGATGAATTACATGGGTACGAAATCGAAATCTGTTTGATAAAAGTGAGTAATCGAGAAAACAAAAATCATCCATCTTGAAACGAGGACAAAGCGTCGTCGGCTTCAGTTCACCCCAAGTTATTTACAATTTTCAAAAACAGCTGATTCAAAAGTGCATGTTTGATTTTGGCACGACTTACCAGGGTACTTACCACCCGGATTTACATTCAAGGTCTTAAAAGGAGGCCTAACATTTTCTTTTAACACTATTTGGATGCATGCATGTTATGCAGGTTTGCTGCACACTATGGCGCACATAAGATTGAAGTATAAAGTGAGGTCACTTATAAATTAAAGATTTAAGCGCACAAGTTTAACAAAGATGCTACCTACAAAACATAGTATTAATTGAGTGTCTCATTGCATAGTCATATTGTGTCTATCGTATTTAGGATTGAAACAATGATAAAAGCCTCTAGAAATTTTTACGAAGTTAGTGTTCGTGAGGCATATTTTAGAAAAATCTAGCAAATTTTTAAACGGGTTATTCTGACATTGCGGAGTACATATGCTGATACTGTGTACAAACAAGTCCTGAATTTAACCCACTACAATTTTAAAATAGTTTACGAAGAATTTACAGACTGGTCCAAAAATTTGAATGTTATTTCAAAATTATGGAGTTGCATTTTGGGCCACCCTGTGATACACTCGGCAGTAACATGTTCCCATGTGGTGGACGCTTTTGAGAGAATTAAGGTCAAACTGTCAACAAAATTATCTACAAACCACTTTATAGGACTACAATCGACAATCGCAATAAAGTTAAACTATATTGTTGCGATCGTAAATTAAATGAGCTCTTCGACTGACTAGACTTGGGTTTGAAAGGGGCAAAGGTAGCAAGATAGCATGCCTTGAGTTATTTGTCGATTCAATCATAAGCGGTATATTGTTTTTACTGAATCTAGAGGCGAAAGATGCATAGGTTAGGACTAGGTTAAAGGATTATCCTCGTGAATAACAATATACAGATACATTTTGGGATAAATCAAGTTTGTATGTGAATAGAATAGCTTCTACATGTATTCGCTAAGTAAAAACAATAACCCGGATACAAACTCAAAACTAAGCCAAGTACGAATTGTATGCCGTTATAAAATGAAGTAAACATTACTATGATATCTCTATGTACACCGTCACATATAGATAATCTAGTTATTGGGCTCGTAGTTCAAACGAATCATAGTTATCTTCGGACCAAACACCCAACATTTGGAATATCGAACATAGACGATGACTCCAAAACAAAGCAAAGTTGGAATACTCTAAAACGAATGAATAACAAATTCAGGGAAATCCAGGAACATTGTGTTTAAGTTGATCCTAAATCGGAATAGAAATGCACACGAATAGGATAGTTTCATCACTAACGCTATGGGGCACACTTATCTTATTAAATACTGTGTCATCCAAAATCATGCAGCTGTCTCCGTGCAAGGCAGATGTCCACGGGAGATTGATAAACCTGGAACCTTTGCAAGGAGTTGACGGCACTCCAAGGTATACGTTGCATAAGTATCTCATATTTTAAAGATCCTCATAGAAATGCAATTGTTAAATATAAATTTCTCCAATCCCTTAAGTTTTTAGTCAGGACGACTCTTACAACATCGTCATTTGTTTTTACAATGTAATATAGTCGTGGAAGGTCAAGCTTTGCAATAACATCTTAGAGGTCAACGATTATTTGTCGTATATTGGGTGCATGCAAATACCTTAAAATATGTAATCGTTGCATGGTTATTCGATACATGCAACGATAATTATTGAATATTAGACATATCCAATGGTCTCCCTTCAACATTGTCTTCTACGACGCATCTATCTTTTACACAAATAGGTTTACATCAATCTTCAATGACAATGTGTACACCTTCAACCCTTGCAAACCATATAGGGAACCACCGAGCGAAGAGGTGGACTACCAACATATTGGCCAGTGCCGACAAGTCGCGGTAAGCAGATTACACTAGCTATCTCCCTTTGTTTGACGTTTAAAATTCACCATCATGCTGAAAATCCACTTAGTAGCAACACAATATGATAAACTGTAGTTTATTTTAAAGAATGTACAGTTGTAACAAAAGAAGAGTACATTGCTTTAAAGAACGGACACTTGGCAAGCTATCAATACCAGCACAAAAGACGTATCAATAGTTGAAAAGTCAATACAAAAGAAATCAAACTTTACAGTTGAATAGTACAGTGTAAGCATAAATGATGGATCATAGATCATTCACCTTTTTGTGCGTCAGCCATTATTTCACCTAATGTCCAGTACTCATGGTTTATACGTTACATAATTAATCCTGCTACGAGAGATATTTGAACATCAGGGAGAGAATCAATGTACAACCTTATCGTTTTAAAATTTGGAAATGTTTTAGGAGAGAAAACTCTGTGAAAACCTAGTCATATCTAAATAAATCGTGTAATGATTTTAAAAAAGCATACTGGAACAGCACATGATAATTGCCAAATATGAAGAAAAATTGTATGAGTCACCGTTTTGATGTTATATTGGACATTTTCTTGGAAGCTCCATATACTAAAGTAATACGTGAACGTGTAGTTGATTTCCTTTTAGTTAAATGTCTAAATTCTGGCTTTGTAGCTTTGTAGGGAAGAAAAGATCAAAAATGGCACTGAAGACTTAAAGGTTTTCTCCACCCTGGGTTCACAGGGGAATGTTCGTTTCAAACGAGCAGGGCCACAGCATAGGGAGATCATACAACTCCGCTTTAAGGGACGAGGGTATGTATGTGCGTTTAGGTGCGGAATAACACTTTTATGAATTAGCGATAAAATGTTGATAATATCGATTTACATTTTTTTAGCGATAATAGGATAGTTTCGATAGTATCGATAATATCGAACTAGCATGAGTTTCAGAGAAAGGGGATTTTTCAGGTTTAGAGAAATATTTAAATTTCAATAAAAACATACCATTGGAATAATATTGGGGCTAGAAATAATTAGGAAGTAAAAGTGACATTCCGTACCAAATTCTGTATATGTAATACCTCTCTCGAACTGACACAGTTATCTGGAAATATAATTATTTTGGTGCTGTTTCAGTTTCAAATTTGCTGGGAAATTTTTAAGGCACCACTCGTCTAAAGCTGCAAAATCTGTTATTTTTGAAGTTTTACGTAAATGGAAACGTACGTAGTCCTGCATGTAAACGTTTAAAGCAAGAATATGATTTCTAGTTTGTACTCTTGATTCTTCCCTTTCTCTGTTGTAGGCGCGAGAAACAGACGAGATCCTATATCATTCTTGTATGTGCAGTGGAAAAGGTTCAACTTGTCGATGCAGTCTTTAAAGTATTCCAAGATAATGGACGTCACGATGGAGAAAATGAAATAGTAAGCTGTTTCGAATTGGTCCTTAAAATAGATAAAACAAGGGTATCCAAATCCAAATCTCGCGAACCGGAATCGAACTATTGACCTAAGGATGACAGTGTTTGCACTCTACAGTCCTCCGCTCTACCAACTGAGCTATCACGAGATGTGTGTTTGATTCACACTTCTCAATTATGATTCAAAATATAATTAATATCAAGATATATTTGTTCATTATGCACAGTCTAGCACACAACCCTTCAAAATGACTGAACTTAAAGGGACCACTTTAATTTAATTTGCCTTTTGCATGTGCTAAGCAGGTAAGGCAGATATGTTTCTTGGCCCGTTTTAAGAAGACATCTCATTAACATGATGGGCTGCATGTTTAAATTTTACAGCAAGTGTATATGTTTTGGGGGTTTGGGTAATTTTCAACTTATCCTCCAATTATTTGTACCTCCCTGTAGTGTCTGTTTGCCGCCCAGAATGAAAATGATTACAAATTAAAGAAAGATAGATGAGTTTGGTTTTTCAACAGTATGGACTATGGGATCATACTATATCTAGTAGTCTAGTCACCACCAGAAGTGGTGACATATTTTTTATGGTCTCTAACTTTTTGTCGAGGTTGTTCGGCTGCCTTACACTATAAACCTCCATGCTTCCAATAACCATTTGCAAGTGTTGTCATTTTGTCACGTAAATACCTTGTTTTACTTGTAGTATGGCGAGCTGCATCATCTTTGTGCGTGTCCAGGGGGGTGCCCCGAGGGCATTGTGCTAAACGATACCATACCAGACGTCAACTTCAATGGAGGGGAGCTAGAAATAGGGCCCATCAAAGGTATGCACCAAACAGTCAACGAATTCAAATATTTATAACTAAACACAAAACAGCATCTTGGATTAGATGACATCCCCCTTAGAGCAGTCATTTATTAATAAGTTGTGCCGTGAAATACAATAGTATTGCCTTTAAACGAATTTCTGGATCGCTAATATGCTTCTCGCTATTGAAAAAATGATTGTGTGTGGTCATGGAGCAAGAAAGGCCCGTTTGGGGCAAGAAGGGCAGTTCTATCAGAAACTGTCATAGGTTTTACCAGACTTACAAAAGTGGGGCAAGAAGGGCCCCTTTTGGCCGATGGAAAGTGCTGCCGTTTGAGTATTGCTCCTAAATGAAACAAAATCAATGACAGTCAGCGCTAAGTGATCCTCGTCAAGAGATAATATCCAGACGATATATATTTTAAAACGATAAGATAAACTTGTTGGCCCGTCTTGCCCCTTGGCCCTTCTTACCCCGCCGTCCCCTACTAAATAGCACCGATAAAGGGTACCGATTTTTGTAAGTGACATTTTTTCAATTCAGATCCAAAAGTACCAATAACTAAATCGTGGAATAAGAAATCTAAAAAGCATGAGAATCTTACAAAGGAAAAGTTTCCTATCGTTGATGAACCTCAAAATGACCAGCCCGTACAACACAACCACCCTGACAATGACGAGCCTCATGCAGAATGGGCTGAGGAAGAGTCTTATGTTCATGTGAAGCATGATTTGTTGAACGATGACTTAAGTGTTGAGGAACCTTTTGTTTACGATGATTACGATGGTAATTTAGAATTCCTAGCGGGTAAGTCAATTAATCAGTTATACCTGAGTCACATTTGCTCCGATTCATCGACCGGCACTCGGCGGATTAAGTAATTTGTTCAAAATTGAATACAATTTTGAACAAAATACTCAATCGGCCGGGCGCCGGTCGATGAATCGGAGCAAATGTGACTCAGGCATTAGTAAATTAGTTTCAAGCTCTGACCATCAATATATTAAGTGAGCACGTAGTTTATGCTACAATGTCTAATTTATGAATCTTATTTTCTGGTCATCTAATTTAGTTATTAACAAGTGCATTTGTACTGATATTCTGTTAAACGAGTGTGGGATTTCTATCCCGATTCAGACATAAAAAATAAAGCAAGGCCGTTCGTGTATGGAGAATTAGCTTGTATTCGCAAATGCAAATTACGGCTGTCGACTATCGGATTAACTTACTTTTTATGGCAAACTCATTGAGATACTCATTGAGGCAGGGTACTATTCATATTTAAATGAGTTGGTCATAAAATAGTAGGTTAATCCGGTAGCCGACAGCCGAAAGTTAGAGAGAGGCTGAGAGAGGTTCTCGTTAAGAGAGATTCGATAAAACATGTAATGTAACGCTACTGTCACACCAAACTAGTTCTCACGACGTTCTCGAAACGGGGTTAAACTGTGTACGAACGGATTGAACGTACATATATATTTCTAATATAACTTTTTTATTTTTATTAATGTAGTATAATTCTCTAGTATTACATTTACAGGGTTGGCACTAGATACGCATAAGGCACATAAGGGAGTAATTATCAAAATTGAAAAAAACATAAAAATGTACAATTTTGAGTGTGGCTTTTAATTCACCACGCAGTCCATCATGGCCAGGGGTGGGCAAAAACACCATTGTTTCTCAGTCCAATGAATAAATTTGTAGCATCTTCTATTGTGTATTCTTTAAACTTATTCCAACCATATCCTTTCATGTATGGATGTTTATAGTGAATCTCTACAAAGAGTTCGTCTATTAGGGGCCATAAACCTTTACTCCGCATGTGATCAATAACCTTGTATTCAGCGCCCTCTATGTCCATTTTGATAACTAAGAAGTCGCTTGGTTTCACATCTAACACATTCACAATAAAGTCAGCGATGTCTGTCTCCTTTGAGGAAGAAACCGTCCCGATGAATGATTCATATAATTTAACTCTAGCCTTTTCTTTTTCTGGAATGATGAATATCTTCTTTTTCACCTCAAATGCATGGATCTCTGTGAAATTACAAGGATAATTTTTAATAAACCACCCAACACTGGATTCAAATGTTTTTGCTCCTAAATCAAGCAGAATTTGCCGGGAATATGTTGAGCAGTTGACATACCTGGAAATACAAATCAATCAACATGTAATCAACATGGAACAATATTTAATATTATTATATCGCTGTCATATTCCTCGCTCTCTGATTGGTACATGCCCTCTACGTGACTAATAAATAACAAGTGATATTCAAGGGAAGTCACGTCACCAGTCACGACTTAGCTCAGTGTAACTTATTTTATCTATCCCGGGCCGGGGTACATTGTTATGATTGATTAGACATCAATAGTGTGTTATTCCATCATTAATGTGAGTGAGGAATATAACAGTGAATAATAAAACAAATATTTAATTCTATTTTCGGTGAATACCTGTGACACTTTCACAAGATGATATTCCACTAGACCTTCGGGTTTTAGTGGTAAATCACTTGTGAAAGATGCACAGGTATTCACCTAAATAGAATTAAATATTTAATAACTATAAATGGACGATTCAAAATGTTAAACACTGAGCTCTATAAAATATTAGTTTCTCGCTTAATATTCAGCAATATTATGACTTGTTAAAATCACGTGTTTCTGAACTATTCTATGTAGTTATTAAAGCATAACATTTAATTGTGTAATATCCAAATAAGTAGAGTTCTTTATAGCCTTGCCAAAGGCTGTGTTTTTTTGTTGTTTTTTATTTTCACAAGTATCGGTTTCAATTATCGAGGTTTTAAATAGTTATGACAACTTTTCTATTTTTTACGTTTTGGCGAATGTAAACAAAGGAGGTTTAACTAAAACCGTATACTGAAATGAAATTAAGCTTAATATTTTTATTTTTATATAACTCACTCAAAGTGTTGCGTATACCTTTCCGTAGGTATATTCCAGTTTAAAATCGACTCATGAAGATAAAACAATCCGTATGGAAAGTTCAGAATCTGTAAATATTGAGAGGATGAATTATCCGAAGGATGTATGAACCACTAAAAATCCTGGTATTAGTCCACATCGTTTTGTTTCATTTATAGGGCATTCCTATGCTTTGGGTTTGTACATGAACGTTTACTTGATATATGCGTAAATCAAACTATCAATTTTCCCATTAAACATATCATAAAAAAGTAATATCTTGCCTTCCTAATAAATACTTCAACAGGTGGTCCTTATTCTCCACATCTTTTGTTTTGCCCAAGTAGTAGTTTTTCCTGAAATGGAACTCTGGTTCAAGTTTTTCAATATTCAACTGTTTGTAGGAAACTGAATGCCCGGCTCCATCTTCTGCATGGTTGGTTTCAACTTGAGCATTGCCCCTCTTAAATACTATGTATTTTATTATTTTGTTATGATCATAGTACCACACAGTGAAAATCAAAAGAATGATTAATAAACAAAAGATAGCTGCTTCTATACATCTACGCTTTTGTTTAGACACTGGCATGTTTGAGTTCTAGTGTAAATTGTATATATTAGTAATTTATAGAGCAGTGGGACCTTACATATAGTCTCAAACGTTACATTATTAGTATTACTTATAATTAATAATGTATCATACATATCCCTGAAGCACTTACAATAATTTTGTAATTTTGGTCATCAAACATTTCCTAATTAATATGCCTTCAGGTGAGGAGATCAACATTTCCTAATTACAAAATATGCTTTAAATTGATTATGATCACACCTTTCATATGATCATTCCGTGGCATTGGTTTTGTATACATTATTACGGAATATAGCTGATCATTTCAGTAAAAATGGTGACCGAACCTAGGGAAATAGTCGAAGGCCTGTGAGGCGAATCCAGGAAACTCGGCGCGCGATACTACAGCGCCCAGTCTCTATGGAATAGATCGTACTTTATACAGAAAAGAATTGTAAACTTGTGAAAACATGATACAATTATAGATATACCAAAATCTGACAAAAAGAATCACATATAATAGTTCATGATTAACCCACAAAATTATTTTAGTATACTCGCCCAATTTTTCTCGTTATATACCATCCCCTTTGGACAAGAAGTTAACAAAAAAGATGCTTTTTGTATCTTTGTCTAGCGTATTTCTCTTACAACAGTAAAATATCAAATTTTCTAAACACGAACCTTACAAAATTAAATTTTTTTTTCTCACATTGCTATGCACTAAACAAAATGTATTGAATTGTATTGATAGGACCTGAGAGTATAAATGAGAAGACAATCATCTTAAATAATATGCTATGTATTTTTAAAAGGTATGTTTATTTGTGCAAATATTCTATGCTAAAACCAACACTTAAAGGTTTTATAAGTAATGTGAAGGAATATTTTATTATGGACAAACGGGTTGGCAGAGGCGATAAGTGGAAAATCATGGAAACAAAATTAAACAAATGCAACTGATGATTTTTTCCTTTAAATAAAAAAATGCCAATGGTATAACGTCTCTTAAGACGAAATATTTAACCACTGTACTGTATTGTAAAATTGTTAAATGTAGGTTTACCATGTAACTGTACTGTAATTGTTTTTTGCAATTGCTTTAACATGCTTATTCTTTGAAATAAAAAAAATTATAAAAATTTTTTTTGACAAATACGGCCACATGCTTTTAGGTGAACAATTACGAAGGGGGTAAAATATGTCGTTAAATTTGCTCTAGTTTAAAATATTTGCTCCAAAATAAAAATAGTTTTTTTTATTAGAATTTATTATAAGATATGTCAGGTGTCTATAAACGAATACATGATATCTTTCATTTGAGTATGATAAAGGTAAAACCAACGAAAATTCCTGTTTTCCCGAACCCCAATACACGACCCCTTGGGGTCAGGCTGAAAAACGGAAAGTTATTGATGAGACGGACCACATCTTTTTGGAAATGAATTTTTCTTATTTTTGTTTGTTTCAGAGGTCAAAAGGAGAAGGAAGCTAGACCCAAGTAAGTTTGACATTATATTCTTCAATGCTTTTTTTACTTGCAAAGTTATATAAACTTCAATTCAATTAAATCAAAAGAATGATCACATGATCTAAAGACCATAAATGATGTAAAAACAATGCATTGTAACTAAATATGATATATGTAACTTTAAAATGAAATAAATTTATAAAAAAAGAAGAAAAAAAAAAAAAAGTTTGACATACTTCATCCGTACAAATACAGGGAGGTGTGTTACACATTCAAGTCCTATTGCCCTACAAGAGTATCTAGAAATTGAAGAAGAGGGACAAAAAATCCATTTCTAAAATTTATTCCCACAGATTAATTTTTCAAATCTTCCCAAAATTGGTCTAGTTTTTCCAAAATCTGTGATCCGGGTTTCCCAAAAAATGTTTGCCCCTCGCAACCTCTCCGATCAGCCAGTGGCTCTGCTTTTAGTAACTATATGATAAGCTATGCCATCTCTTTGCTCCTCACATTTGAAATGTTCCCTAGTTGGAAGACAGAAAAATGAACAATAGTAAGAATGGCTCGGTGTATTCTGCCCCTCTATATGTATGATTTGTGATTTTACTAATTCAAAATATTCTTTAAAGAGATCGTACTTGGTTACCCAAAAATGCACCATTCTAAACATTAACAAAATTCGTCTATAAATCTATGCTTCTAGTCTTTTCTAGTCTTATTTTAAATCAAGACGTCTTGATTCCCATTAGAATGATTATTGTTAGAGTTAATTTGAATTTTAGACTTTAAGTTGCATTCTGACCATTCGTCTGAAGGAGACTGGTCAAGTAGTGAACTCGGTGACAGTAGCGATGATGGTTCTTCGAGCAGCGAGGAAGACAGTAAGATAGTTCAATAGGCTTTTTTATATAGTCTTACATGTTAACAGTAGCGTCTCTTATAAAATACAATGAAATAAATATTTTGGAATACAAGCATAAAAAACAATGGCTTCAAAGTCGATTCAATATTTGTTTATAGGGCGTCCACAGAAGGCACGTATCCCAGACTCCCATGCATTAATGGCATTAATGATCTTCCTTCTGGGGCTGATGGGAGCTGGTCTCCTCATTGGAACCATCTGTTACTGTAGTAGGAACAAGAGTTTAACACCGCACAAAAATACTATGCCAGGTAAGGTGACATTTTATTACAGTACCAGCAACATTAATTATTTTTGTACACAGTAGGACGACACATAAACACTTAATGTGCCGTCATACCGTGGGTGCGGTTAGACACGATATGGTCCACAGGGAGTTACCCGCATTTTCATCATATTTTGTAGGTTTGAGATCCATAATGAGTGACAGCGTAGACGATGTCCAAACCCAACTATCAAACAAGGACTTTTTTGAATATTCACCAAAACCTCAAGAAAAAACATCACAGTTCCCAGTCCTTTCTAATTGTGTGATTCCAAAGTCAGAATTTGAAACTGGACAAAGGTAATCAAAGATTCTGAATTCTGAATTTATTCATAATTAAATTTTAGAAATTCTTGTTGGTTGCCTATATAGATATTTAGGAATGGTATTCTGTTCATAAAGCGAGTCAAAATGGGGAACTATACTCGAGCATTTCTTTAACTCATATTATTATCTCACTCACTAACTATCATAGGATAGGTTGAATTAACATTTAAACAAAGTCAATACAAAATGCGATGCTCTAACAAAATCATTAATTTAAAAATGAGTCTTTTTCCTTGATACACAGAGAGTGTGGAGTCAATATTCATTTCGGTCAATCGCACTATGTATTCTGGTGGCTGCGATTTTCAACTAGTAGTTTGGTCTTAATATTTTATTTTTCATTATGCTTCTTCATGTTTCAGGTTAGGGGGTGGTCTGTTTGCTGATACATACATAGGAGAATGGAAAGAGCGTGCAGTTGTTGTAAAGAGGTTAACCATAGGAATACATACATATGGCCTCTCTGGTGAAGATTCTGAATGGTTACTTAATGAAGTCAAAATACTTAGGTACATAGAAGATAAAGGTTCAATGTACACTGTACATTGTTTAAGGATTTAAGCCATGGACCCGGTGCATTGCGGACTGATTATCATTTCTCCAAAGTGTTGTTTCAAACTTTGCACAAGATTTGCAGAATCAAGTGCTAAGTTTAGGAAACAATGCCTGAGTAGAATGAATCGGCCACAATGCATTGAGTCTTGGGCTTAAATTATTTTCACACAGGTTTTCACCTTGACAACCATTCAACAAATGGCATTGGGTGGGTTGTTGGTTATATAATGCAATGCAATTACATGAAATAGCGTGTTCAGATTGGATGGAATTGGACACATCTTGCCTTGCTATGTGTGAAAAACAATACCAAAGAAAGTGACCCAAGGCAGTTGCAATCATTGTGTCACCATTGCAATTAGAATTTTTAGCCAGTGTTATTTTTTAAATGCTTTTTGCTTCAGCCTATTTGAGTTCTTTGTTGAGAAAAATTGAATTGTTCTTTTGTAGCAAGCTTCGTCACAAGTACATAGTGAGGATGATTGGGGTTTGCCTGGAGAGCAAGACCCCACGGCTAGTGTGTGAACATATAGATGGGAAGACTGTCAGGACGATCTTGAATGAAAATGGAAAGGCATTGTTATGGCAACATAAAATTAAAATGGTAGGCCTGAAAGTAAAAAAATTTCAACAATTTATATAATCTTTATACATATACTACAGTAGTACAATAAGTCATTAAACTTATTACCATGTATTATTGTAGCACCAGCTCGTTCACTAAAATAAAATAAAAATTATCCATAAACTATTGAAGTACACCCTGCATGCAGGGTCTAGTTATAAACAAAGACAAAGCTCTCTTTTAAGAAGCCAAGTCAAATGAATGCAAAGGGTAATTGTAGTACCAATGAACTATTGTAGTACCAACAAGTACACTAAAATATATTATATTATTATAGTGTCAACAAGCTGTAGAAGGTGTGATCTACTTACACCACAGCAAGCCAAGTATACTTCACAGAGATCTTAGGTGTGCTAACCTTATAGTAGACCAAAATGAAAGAGTCCGGGTAAGAATTTTTGAAAATAAACTAGGGATTAAATTTTCCATAAAATTCAAATGAATTCTTATTTACATTTGTGATAAGTCGTTTTCAAGCACAACTCATTGGGGTTGTCACATCATCATTTTTAATGAGTTATATGGTGAAATGTGTTAAATTAAAAATATCAATTGAGAAAACTTAATCAGAAGGTGCCTTTTTATGAAAAGTCACTTCCAAGAAGTGTTTGACACACTATGCTCTCCATTTTTGTGACTTGTGTGAGTCATCTGTAACAATTGTTACACTTTTGTAACCATTTGTTGTAACTCACCAGGTTGATGACTTGTTTTTATTTATTATTATTTTGTTTTTATTTTATTCATTCATTATTCGAAAACTTCAATTTTATACATTATTGATAAGGTTTGTGACAAAATCTGTGTATTCGTGACAAAGTACATTTTTGAATTACATATTTATCAAAATTTATTGTATGAGAGAGAACTTTGCTGAACCGAAATGTAGCAATTTCTAGTATGTCTCAATCTAATTGTTTGCTTACACATAAAACCAGCAATAATATCAAGCAGGTTGAACTCTAGTTAACACTGAATATATATTTATATTATTTCACAAATAAAACGTCATTGCAAAGAAGTAGTGTTAAAATATGTGAAAAGAGCATGCCATGGAGTAGTCAACAAATTAAAGTTTTAACTCCAACCACAGAACATCACCCGGCGAACACCAAACACTGTCCACTTCTAATGTTGACATCAGGAGGGCGGCTGGGGAAAATATTTAGAATATGGGAGGCTAGGTCGGGGATGGAGTGCTATCTGCCTAAGAGGTTTCTCCTGCATGGGAGGGGCAATGGGGCATAAATGATATGGCTTCTTAATACCACATGGCCTCATCAAAACCAAACTAAAAATTGAAGAGCCAGCAAATAATTCAGTCAATAGAGCAAGACATGAGACTCAAACTAAATAGATACAAAACATCCCCTGTCAAATTAATTATCAAGATTACTGACTCTAATTGACGACATATCTTCGCGAACTTGCCTCACTTGTATTCTACCTCACTTTCATGTATTTTGGCTTTAACATCATTATTTGTAACCGGGATACATAGATCGTAGGTCAAAATATGAATAGAAAACAGCAACTACCTGGGGTAGTGAATCCCACTGATATCAGCCTATCTCTTGGGACAGGCTGAAAACAGTATAATAGATATATTTATTGACATTACCAAAATTTCAAACAGTAGTACTCATTACTTTGGTTAGAAATTACAAACTGTACTCAAGCTCATATGTTCTCAGCAGGCTTGCAACTAGAAAAATCTAGTAAGTTATTTTGACCCAGTAAGTTCAAATTCTGGATCACGCCAGCTTTATTAAGAGGAATGTGAACTTTATTTGCACTGATTGCAAGGGCTCATATATATATACAGAACATTAAATTTGGCATGATAGATGAGTACAAAGTATAAAATGATCATTAATCATTTGCTGAGTACATAAAGTTATAAACAAATACTGCCTTGTATCTTATTGTAATATACAGATGTACTATATTTAATGATTGAGCACAAAGGCTAACATTTGAAAGCAAATGACAACCAACAACTGTATCAAGATCCCTAAAAACCATAGAAATTATTTAATGGTTTCCACAGTCAGGAAAGACTAGGAATTTCAGAATTGCCTCAAAAGTGGCTAAATGGTCAGAAATTCAGAAAAGTCAACTGTTTAGTAAAAGTAAAAAATTGAATCATGAAGAACTGAAAAGAGAAAAATTGAAAGTGAATCACATAAATCATTAAAACTCAAATATTTCCCAGACGTAATGTTCTTCAATTAAGATATGTGCAGCCTTGGTCAAATCAACATATTTAGACTGTGAATGTCATGCTAAAATCAAGAAAGTTAAAGAAAAGTCAGGGAATTTAATTTTTGTGTGTAATGGCACCTCAGCCTGTAAAAGATTCCTCCAAATTATTAACTACAATCATAATACTGTATGTAATCCAAAATGTGCTTTTGCTTATACTACTGGTATTACTACAGATACAATCCTACTTATCAAAGCGCCATCTTTTTTAAAATGAATAAATAATTGTGTTAATACATGTATACACTTGGTATGTCAGATGTATTATAAATAAAATTTCTTGCTTTTAGGTGGGTGACTTTGGAATAGTAAAATTAACACAAAGACTCCGAGAACAATGTAATGAAGGAGACACATGTTATTGTAAGTCACCCTTCTGTTGTGATATACCAACTGAAGGATAGGTCAAGTGATGTACCAAAGTCAATGACAAAGAATAAGCTTTAAAATAGTATATAACATCAATAAATCAAATAAGTATATCTATTTCTATGTCAAAATAATTCTTAATGAATTTTGTTTGGACCTACTAGCTAAAAGAAAAATATGGACTAGATTTCATGTTATAAATATGTAAACAGCATATTGCCAAAAGGAAAATGCCAAAGAGTATTACAAAACAGGAAAAAGACATATTTAAGAGATCAATTTTATACAGAAGTCAGAGGAGTATGTGATGAGAAGAGGTGTTTGGTGGAGAGAGGTGTTCACTAGAGAGAGGTGTTCACTAATTAAATACAGGTTTTACCGAATTTACTTGTTTCAGGTCAGAAAGAATACAGCGCATTGCCTGCATCAATTCGTTGGTCTGCCCCAGAGATATTCCAGTTTCCAAACACTCACAACCCTAACATTATCACCTCTGCCTGTGATGTATATTCCTTTGGTATGGTGCTATGGGAGATGTGTACCCATATGGAACCATTTGCTGATATTCTTAATGAGCAACAGGTTAGACAAGGGGTTGGATGTTTCAAAGGATTTACATCCGTGTAATCCATCTTTTTAACTGCTAAATCACAATTATACTTTGTTAATGTAACAGATCATTTGGTATTATGAATTTTTCAATGAAAATGGCAGGATATCCAAACGTATCAAAGAACACGAACATAAATCCTTTCTTTATTCCAGTGTTTCTTTGTTTACTGATTTATGATCAGGCACTAGCCAGGGACATCCCCCTCTATCTTTCAATCTCATGACATGTTGTTTCGGGTGAAACGATCAATTTAACAAGGCATTAACATGCAAAGATGTCACTACCTGCCATTTGTTAGACACCAACCACCACAACCAAACTATCTTCCACAAAAGGTTGGTGACCACAATCACCACTTGTAGTGTTGACTTATAAATGTATCATTATTTGTTTCATAGGTAATGGATACAGTAAAGGAGGGGGTGCGACCACCTATCCCAAATGACAATTCTATTCCATCTAAATATAAAGACCTTATGATGGATTGCTGGGAAAATGAACCTAAGAGACGACCAACCTTCAAAAAGGTCAGATTTATTCTTTTTCTTTGTTAGTAAAAGGAGTGCAAGATAACGTCAGATTCAAATAGAAGCTTGGAGAAGATTTAATTGGAGAAGTTACTTACATGAATCAATTGTTAAGGGGGGGGGGGGGGGGGGGTCAAAAGCCAGGTTTTGTTAGATATTGAAAAATAAATAGAAAATAGAAAAACATTGAGATTGAATGGGTGATATTGTAAGTTCTATGTCTCATATTGTCTAATAAACAGGTTCAGTAGTTTCACAAAAACCACTGATATTTTGATCTACTCCATTTTATTATTTACATTAAATGAAAATTCTGTTATCGTAGTCAATAACATAAATTGATATTATCATATACTCCAGGTTGCAGTAGCTTTGAAAGAAATACAATCCGCGGTCAATTCATTCCAAAACATTAAGCGGAAACGTCAAAAATCTTCAACATTCAGATCGTCGACGTCTGTGACATTTGCCAGTGATTTCGCAGATGCCAATGATGTGCACAAGAGTAATGGGAGTACTTTTTACACATCTCAACAGATTTGAGAAACTGAGAAATAAATTGACAAAATCATTAGGAATAGGCCATTTAATGTATGCTCAGCACTGATTGAGACAATTTGCTCAAAGTTGCACACTTCACACTCATATAAAGTTGCAACATAAGAACTTTCTCTTGGACACTGAATAAGTGAATGTTACATAAATGGATTTATGATTATGAGGGTTGTTCAAAAAATACAAGAATGAATATTCCTAATTTTGAACTCCATAGAGCAGCAAATCCCTGAATAACCATATAATAAAAGACACAGTGATATAACATTTTAGCAAAAATTCAAAATGGCTACCAAGTAATTTACCCAGCATGCCCAAAACCTAATCAGATCCTGGCACTAGTCTGTTCTTGCATGTGTAGAATTTCAAGTTAAACAGGTAAGCAGTTTTCCTGGAATTTTGATAATACGATGTGGAGCCCACCCGCCTCCATGCTCTGCAGCACAAGTCAATGACAATATAGAACTTTAAAAAGGTGCAATAATAATCTCATGTTGGAAACTACCTGGGATATGCCTCTTTTTGGTAAAAACTACAATCATGACAGGGTGTCCATAAAGTTTCAATACAAATTTATTGTGTATGACTATTTTAAACAGGCATGAACCAAATATATATTCAGGATTCAGTAAGCAACTATTCAAGGTCAACTGCCATTTCAAAGACACCATTTTGAAGAGCTATCAGATGGGCATACTACCTATAACGCACAATAACAGATAGTCAAACTTCATTAATACATTGCTCAATGTAATATTCATACTGAATACTAATAACTGATAGAAATAGGCTAGAACTAGTACTGAATATACTGTAAATGGATTTTAAAAGTTTGATAAGGAAGGAACTTTGCAAATGCTGTCTAAATGAAGTGAAGTTTCTCAACAGTGAACTATGATTATAATCAATGAATAGAGGTATATTATATCCAGAACAATCTATGGCATCTTTCCCATATATATATCACATATAACCATCGTCATGACTTTTTCTCTATTTAAGTTACTTATTTCTTTTAAAAGTAAAGTTCACATGAAGTTAATCGTTAAAGTATTATATAGACTACAATGTAAATGTATTTTGAATTGCGTCAAACCACTGATATGTCTTTCTATTAAAAATAGTAAAGCTTCAACTACAATAATTTTTGTTTTCATTTATGTTGAAATTACATGTATTTACAATACACTCATTTAGTACTGTTATTCAGACAGAATGCAAACAACATTATTAAAAAGTGATGTGTTCTCTGGCTTAGATTCAATGTACAGCAAAAGTTGTATACTAACCAGATATAGGGAAGGAAATAAAATATATAATATCTGTTTATATATATTGTTTTATGCTTAATCCTGAGCATATGGTAAAATAACTAGATTACTATGCTTACCAATTCATGTATCGTATCATACTCACTTGAATGTAAACAAGAATTATATCAAATTGTCTCCTGATATAAGACAGTGAAGTTTAATATTTATTGTGAAGTCAATATAATAATTGGAGTGAAATGTGACTTCTATTCCCCTTGTGATGTCACTAGAGATGAACGAAATTGAATGTTATCCTCTGATATCACAATGTCATTGTATGCTGTAAGGGTATAACCCAATATTACCACAATCAGAGAGACCTATAAGGACTGAGGTACAACAGCGCTAAATCTACTATCCAAATGCTTTTACTGGTTCTCTGTTTTACGGTGGCTCAATTTTTATTTCAGGCTCTTGCAGTTTTTGTATTTCAGTCCTAAATTTTGCAATTCCTTCCTTGTTTTGCTTCAGTCTTTCATTTAGTTCTGAGATTTCGTTTCGAATTTTGGATTTCGCAGACGTTATAGCTTCCAATGTTTTCGTTTTCTTTTCATCAACTGAAAATTAAAATGAAGGAAATTTATACCTTTAAATAATTTCTGACAATTCAATTGATGATAAATTGCTTCTTAATCACTTTCAAAATTTACACAGCAAAATGAACACCTTCAATGGTATTAAAATCATCTTCATTATAGTTTGTAGATGAGTCTCTGTCAACATAGTACTTGTGAATTTAATTAAAATTTATAATCTTTATTAAACTTGTAACAAATAGAAAAGGCATAAACATGCAAAATGTCACCACCTGCCATTTGTTACAAACGCCAACTACAAATCGCTGAACATCAACTGCCAAATACCGTCCACAAGAAAGTAAAATGGAGACAATAACAATATCTCACCACTTGTGGTGTTAACATAACAAGCGAAAACGCTTACCATCTGTTTCATGTCTATATGTGCCTAGTGTCAGGGGTCTAGTTGTAGTAAGAGCCTGGTGCATCATAGTGGTCGGGTCTTGGAATATCTACATAAAAGAAGGTGAAAAGTCAATCAAATTGCCACAATGGAAGATCATATCAGCTTTGAAATAAAGGTTTTAGCAGCATTTTAATTACAATGTGCAAATAATTACCAATCAGTTAATCCATATGAATGATGATAGGGATATATGAAAAAATCACAAAATGAGAGCATTTTTATCAGAATATATGGATCGCCCCTTGTATATGTATGACTCAATGAAGACAAATACATTGTAAATATTTTACTTGTAATTATGTTGCCGTTACTTACAATTTCATCATAAAATTCTTGCACCAGTGCTTTCTTGCCTAACATGATGTTGGTCTCACTTTGGAATAACTTCAACAAGTGATAGAGGGTCACCTGAAATTGTAAATGACACATTAATGTTTGCGGTGACATTTATTCATGTGCATCATCAAATATATATCTGATGAAAAGAAGAATATTCTATCATCTTAAAAACTAAATGTGGCAGCAAAAATGGTTGGAAGTTCAAATATATGAACATAAAAAGGCTAACTTAACATTTTTGGTTCATAACAAATAATATTTGGATGATTCAACAATATTTTTAAACTTTAAGGATGAGTATTCTAGCAATGAGCCAAGAGTGCAAGGTAACTTTTAATTAAAATAATGCATTCATCTATAAAGTATTTTTGGTGGAACAATAAAAACAAGCAATTGTAACAAATTCATTTTATCTGCCATGAATTCATTGAAACCTATAGAATAGAAACTCAGCAAAAGCAAATGGAAATCCAAGTATCGCCAACCGTATTCATGTTACTTACCGGCCTCTCATTTGGATCGATGAAGTAAATCTTAATGATGATCTCGAACTCTCCCCAACCAGTCTCGGTAACTTCATAGGGAGGCTTTGTAACAACTATAAGTGAAAACAGATATACAATAAATCATATACAGGATAAGTTTAAAAATTCATCAGGGTTGCCACAACTTAAAACTCAATTTTTCCTTTACGTTCAAAATTATAAAATTCCATGTCTATTACATAATAGGCCAAAATTAGGGAAACATCTTGACTTTTCAACTTCCCTTCAATGTCTTATAGACTGTAAACCATATTTGAAATTAATTTACAAGTATAAGTGGCCGCTGGTGACTAAACCTGCCACATAATAAAGCAGATTCTCTATTGAGGGACGAAAAGTGCAACACATCTGCTCAATGTGTGAATTGCTTTTGCACCTTGAACATGAAACACGGGACTCTAATTTAAAACCTCTATGCTAATGGTATATAGCATAATGTCATCACTTAAAACATTTGTAATAGACATTGAAAACTGGTCATCAAAAAGGAGTCTATAACAATATGTCACCACTTTTTTGTTGTGACATCAAAATCAAAAGTACTGAATCAATTTTGACAAATAAGGTATACAACTGGTAAGGTATACAACTGCACTCTATTGCACACACTTTATTCATTAATATTCATAGTTTTAGCAGATGAATGGTAGTCTTTGAAGTGGTGGAAATCAAAAAGCTGCAAAATCATCAAGACAAACAAAATGACATGCTGGCACTTACTTCTGTTGAAATTTGGTATACTTTCATGTAGCTTAAAATGCACCTTCTTCACATATGTAGACATGTCCTAAAATCAGAAAAATCACATTTTATTGAATTACCTTGCAAAATAACATGCAATTTCCCCTGTCTCACAAAATCAGGTTAATAATCATGTTTCATAATGCAAATTAGAATGAGAAAAGAACTAATACCAATGATACAAAATTCCACAACAACAAAATTGGATTCAATAGTTGAGGCCCAAGTATCAATTTCGCTTGGGGATAACCACTTTTATGGGCAAAAAATTGAAAGAAAGCTTACTCCAAGTGAAAAAGAAGAGAGTCCATAGGTGAAGCCAGGTATTTATCACCAACATTTTACACAAATAGTTCTCCAATAACACTTTGGAATTTGTTTCCAAATTTCAATATCATATCTTCTTCAGCTTTTATTTTCCTAGCCTATTTAAAATTTTCCTTGCTCATCCTGGCTCATCCCCTGAAGTAAACAAGCCACAGACGTGAACAATATCGTACCTAAAACACAACAGTGTGACAGTGAAGAATTTGGGACGGAAAATCCAAAATGGCCACCTTAAAATTCACCCAGAATGCCCAAAAACTAATCAGTTCTTAACTTTGATATGTAGAAACATCCCTGAAATTTCAGATGAATCTGTCAAATGGTTTGGCTGGAAACCTGTAGACAAGTCTTGAAAGTGAAGATTTTAGGACGGAAAATCCAAAATGGCCACCTTAAAATTAACCCAGAATGCCCAAAAACTAATCAGTTGTTAACTTTGATACGTAGAAACATCCCTGTAAATTTCAAATGAATCCGTCAAATGGTTTGGCTGGAAACCTGTAGACAAGTCTTGAAAGTGAAGATTTTAGGACGGAAAATCCAAAATGGCCACCTTAAAATTTACCCAGAATGCCAAAAAACTAATCAGTTCTTAACTTTGATACGTAGAAACATCCCTGAAAATTTCAGATGAATCCGTCAAATGGTTTGGCTGGAAACCTGTAGACAAGTCTTGAAAGTGAAGATTTTAGGACGGAAAATCCAAAATGGCCACCTTAAAATTTACCCAGAATGCCCAAAAACTAATCAGTTCTTAACTTTGATACGTTGAAACATTCCTGAAAATTTCAGATGAATCTGTCAAATGGTTTGGCTGGAAACCTGTAGACAAGCTGAAAAGTTAGACGCCGCCCGCCCGTCAAGCTGACTACAATATCGTACCTCTTGTTAGGTACGATAAAAACATTGACATTTTGCCTAAGTTGTTGAGCGAGAAATAAAATGGAGATAAGTTCACCTCATTTCTGAAGGGCTTTACATATACAGTCCATTGATGAGTATGGCCATCTTCCTCTCGTTTCTTGCCAAAGTAGCGAGCCTGGTTCCCATAAACAATGGGCTTTATTATTGCTACCCCCTGAAAGCACACACATGATCTTCATCAAAGCATACTCAATTCAGTTGTACGAGTCTCATAAGGCATCTTATGCATTTACAAATTATACATTTTAGTATACTCCAGATTGAAACAACACACCTCAATCAGTACATTCCTGCCGCCCAAAGATTTAATTTGATCTAATTCAAACCCTAATCAAAATATATTTTCATCGTTAAATATGCAAACCTCCTGAAATTTTACTATAAATGAGGATTTAAAGCAAAGCTAAGAAATCTTGTGAATCTGGAAAAGCAAAACCGTGCTCATTCTGAAATATTCAAAAGCTTATGATAACATTTCATTCAGCTTGTTTAAATAATCTCTGTGATAAACCTGGAATAGAATATTCATCTCAGGATTATGAATAATGAAATCAAAGGATTCAATTTTGAACCATAACTCAGTACATTTAGGCATCTCAGACTCAGTACTATAATATTACTGAGTGTTAAAACCCACAAAGAACCTCATCACCCTATGATTATTTTACTCGAGTCTCTAGCCAATTCTTGGCTAGAAGTGATTCCCTCTGGAACACAGTGAACTATTGTAAAATCTTAAGCCGTCGTTCAATTAATTTATGTAATATTCTAAAAATCGTTCTGTTAATATTTCATGAACTGAAATGGTAACGGCTTATCTTGTTGATGAGATATTGAACGTTTTCATTTAAAATATACGTCGTCTCGTTCTCCATTTTGAAAGCATGCCTTTTTCGGTTATAGCGATTTAGTCAAGATGGCCGCTTGTTGTAAAAATTTCCTTCAGTTTTGTTTTAATTCTTTTGTGAATAAATATCCTGGGAAGTAGACCAATTTATGAAATAGGACTGCGTGTAAAGATCAATGAAGGTGAATTTATTATGTTTACATCAATAAAAATAAGATGGCTCGGCAATTCAAAGGCAAATTCAAACAAGGCACAGGACGTGAACGAGATCACACCATCAAATAGGCAGACACTATGAACCAGGAAAACTGTTCTCCTATTATATTAACAAATTTGAAGAACAAGAAAACAAGATGGCCACCCAAAAGTTAATCAGCTCTAGTACTTGATATCCTCTATCATTTGTGTAAATTTGAAGGAAATCCGATGAGCGGTTTTCCTGAAATGGCGATGACAAGATTTTTCGAAAAACCTTCAAAATGGCCACCAGAAAACAAGATGGCCGCCCAAAAGTTAATCAGCTCTAGTACTTGATATCCTCTATCATTTGTGTAAATTTGAAGGAAATTCGATGAGCGGTTTTCCTGAAATGGTGATGACAAGATTTTTCGAAAAACCTTCAAAATGGCCACCAGAAAACAAGATGGCCGCCCAAAAGTTAATCAGCTCTAGTACTTGATATCCTCTATCATGTGTGTAAATTTGAAGGAAATCCGATGAGCGGATTTTCTTAAATGGCGATGACAAGATTTTTCGAAAAATCTTCAAAATGGCTGCCAGAAAACAAGATGGCCGCCCAAAAGTTAATCAGCTCTAGTACTTGATATCCTCTATCATTTGTGTAAATTTGAAGGAAATCCAATGAGCGGTTTTCCTGAAATGGCGATGACAAGATTTTTCGAAAAACCTTCAAAATGGCCGCCAGAAAACAAGATGGCCACCCAAAAGTTAATCAGCTCTAGTACTTCATATGCTCTATCATCTCTGCGAATTTGGAGAAAATCTGATGAGCAGTTTTCCTTAAACGGCGATGACAAAAAGCGAGACGATCACGTCACGATCACGACCACGATCACGACCACGACCAGTATGACGACTATATCCCACCGATGGTGTGATAAAAAATAAGTACCGTGGGTACTGGGCTCACATGGTGTTGCTCAAAAGTGAAAATAAACAAGACACACAGTGATAAATATCGCACTTTGAAGAGCAAACTGGCCACCATGCAATTTACCCAGCATGGCCAAAACCTAATCAGACCTTGGCACTAGTCTGCTGTTGCATCTGTAAACATTTCAAGTTGACAAGGTAAGCGGTTTTCCTGCAATTTTGATGACAAGAATTTATTTGTAGTCTTGAACTTTGGGAAAATTTAGATAACATTGTTTGTGACCTAATTTGATGACCTTCGACCTTGAAAATTTCACTTTTTCAGACCTCAGTAGGTGTTTTGTAATTAAGCTGACCTAAATTTAAATCCAAAATATCAATTTAGAAAATCAAATTTTTGACCTTTTCAAGGTCACTGAAGGTCAACGAAAGGTCAAATCTGAAATCTAAGGTCAGATTTGAACTTCTGGGAACTTGTAGATGTTTTTAAAAAAAAAATTTGGTCAATTTGGAGCAAGTTGAAAAATTCAAAATGGCCGCCAAATTGAAAAATTCAAAATGGCCACCATGTAATTCAGCCAGCATGCCCAAAACCTAATCAGATCTTGGCAATAGTCTGCTCTTGCATCTGTAAAAATTTCAAGTTGAACGGATAAGTGGCTTTCCTGGAATTTTGATGACAAGATTTGGTTTATGTCCCGCCCGCCCGCACGCCCGCCCGCACGACCGCACGCCCAACACCGCCCAACAGCACAAGACCACAACAATATAGCACTTTTTCAAAGTGCGATAAAAAGATGGGTATGATTTTTTGCAGATTTTTTGTGACAAAATTATTTCATACAAGTACTCTTTACAAAGACATGGCTTTTTACAATGCAGGACACCTGAACTTATTTGTAAAGCTAGGAAATGGGCCAAAAGTGAATTTCCCGAGACAAAAATGGTGGCCATTTTGAAATTAGGCGAGATTTTGAAGCAGGAGTCACAGGTTTTTTTTCTTTATTGATGTTGAACAAAATTATTTTAAATCGGGAATCCTATCTACAGAGGATTTAAAAAGTGTTGACAGAGGTTTAAAACTTGCCACTTTTTGGACTGACTGAGAGACAGATGGACGAATCAATGTTAACTAAAATGGCTGAAAATAAAAAAAAACTGATATAATATTTTGCCGATTTTTTGTAACAAAATTATTTCATACAACTACTCTTTACAGTGACATGGCTTTTTACAATGCAGGACAGCTGAAATTATTTGTAAAGCTAGGAAATGGCCCAAAAGTGAATTTCGCGAGACAAGAATGGTGACCATTTTGAAAATAGGCGAGCTTTTGAACCAAGAGTCATAGGAGAGTTTTTTGTATTGATGTTGAACAAAATTAACTTAAAACAGGAATCCTATCGACAGAGGGTTTAAGGCAAATGGTCCAAAAGTGGATTTTGCGAGACAGATGGACAAATCAATGTTAACTAAAATGGCTGAAAATAAAAAAATGGATATAATTTTTGCTGATTTTTCGTAACAAAATTATTTCATACATCTACTCTTTACATTGACATGGATTTTTTACAATGTAGGACACTTGAAATTATTTGTAAAGCTAGGAAATAGGTCAAAAGTGAATTTCGCGAGACAAAAATGGCAGCCATTTTGAAAATAGGCGAGCTTTTGAGCCAGGAGTCATAGGGGAGTTTTCTGTATTGATGTTGAACAGAAATAACTTATAACAGGAATCCTATCGACAGAGGTTTTAAAACGTGCCACTGTTGTTGACGGAAAAGTGGATTTCACAAGTCAGATGGACAAATCAATGTTAACTAAAATGGCTGAAAATAAAAAAATAGATATAATTTTTCGCTGATTTTTTGTAACAAAATTATTTCATATATCTACTCTTAACATTGACACAGATTTTTACAATGTAGGACACCTGAAATTATTTGTAAAGCTAGGAAATGGGTCAAAAGTAAATTTCGCGAGACAAAAATGGCGGCCATTTTGAAAATAGGCGAGCTTTTGAACCAGGAGTCATAGGGGAGTTTTCTGTATTGATGTTGAACAGAAATAACTTAAAACAGGAATCCTATCGACAGAGGTTTTAAAACGTGCCACTATTATTGACGGACAGACAGACAGACAGACGGACGGACGGACAGACAGACAGACCATGTGAGCTAATAACAACAAAGAGTGTCTTATTTATATTGTATGGCCACACTCAGTGGCCATAGAATATGGTAATGATTATAAATCGTACCTATTTCGAATGGCGCTGGTAAAGACAATCAATGTATTAGTTCAAATCTTTTTTTTGACAGACATTTTCATCCAGTTTTTGTCATTGTCATTGAACATCTGCCATTTTTCTTGGAACTGTTGATATTAGACGAAAGTATGCAATATCTCACAAAGGACCTTGTTTGCTTAATTCTAATTGATGGAATATTCTCATTACGATATTTAAAATAACATTTAAATTTATTTTTCTCAAGGACAACTATATAACTACTGCACAGTGGTCCACACGCCATGTCTTCTATACCCCAAGTAATTTGCCTAAAGACTCGAGTAAGCTGATGTAGTAAATTTGGTATAATAACTGAGGTATAATAATTTACTGAGTGTGAGGACGCCAAAATCTGCGTTATATGGGCTTATTAGCCTTTTACAGATTATTGACATAGACAAAATAAGCCCATGGAGGACCAAAAGAACTTGATACGCTTCCTGCGGTTTCAATCTCTAAATTTTGTAAAAAATATGAAAATACAGTGGGCGATAATGAAGTAATTTTTAAGAGTCAGAAGAAGATGTAAAACTACAACTAGAAACAACTAAAACCAACAAATCACCAGGGCCTGATAACATAAGCGGACGAATCCTGAAGGAGTTAGCTGATGTATTAACCCAACCCATCTACCTCCTCTTCACCAAGTCAGTCGACGAAGGTTACTTGCCTATGGACTGGAGAAGAGCCAATATCACACCCATATTCAAGAAAGGCACCAGATCCTCCCCTACAAACTACCGCCCAGTTAGCCTTACCAGCACGGTATGCAAAATTCTCGAGAGCATAATACGCCCACAACTACTCCAACATCTACAGAGCAACAAGCTACTAACAACTACACAACATGGATTCCTTCCCAATAGATCCTGCTCAACTAATCTACTAGCCATGCTTGAGAACTGGTCTAAGATCATCGACACAGGGGGCGCTGTAGACGCAATATATATGGATTACGCGAAAGCGTTTGATTCCGTCCCCCATCAGCGCCTGCTCTCCAAGCTTAAAACATTAGGAATAAGAGGCAAAGCTCTTAAGTGGATGTCCTCCTTCGTAACAGAAAGACAACAGAGGGTAGTTCTGAATGGTAAAGGAGCCCCGTGGACCCACGTAGGCTCTGGTATAGCTCAGGGAAGTGTGCTCGGGCCGCTTCTCTATGTCCTCTACGTAAACGACATGCCAGACACAATAAAACATAGCAATATCACTCTATTTGCCGACAACACCAAACTATACAGGATAGTGAAGGATCCAGCAGATAGAAATATGCTCCAACACGACCTTGACTCAATCCAGGACTGGGCCAAAAAGTGGAACCTAAAGTTCAATGCACAAAAATGTTCAGTTTTACACATAGGCAGAACCAACAAGGCCATGAGTTACAATATGAAAGACATAAACACAGGAGAAGAAATCCCCCTAAACAACTCTACCTGTGAAAGAGACTTGGGGGTCTTTATAGACTCTAACCTGAATTTTAACCAACACATCAGTAAAATAGTGAACAAAGCCAACCAAGCTGTAGGGATGATCAAGAGGACATACGTATACTGGGACCTTGAATCTTTTAAGCTTCTCTTCAATGGACTTATAAGACCAAAATTAGAATTTGCAAACTCAGTCTGGAATCCATTCACCAAGAAAAACATAGAACTTATTGAAAATGTGCAAAGAAGAGCTACACGTATTATCCCATCCCTGAGAGAACTATCGTATTCAGAAAGGCTCAGAACTTTAGATCTAACAACCCTAGCCTATAGGAGACTTAGAGGAGACATAATAGAAACTTTCAAGTATATGAACAACTTATATGATGTGAATAGCCTAGACATATTCCCAATGCAACAGAATAGAAACACAGGACCAACACTAAGAAGAGCAAACACACAGATGCTCAGAAAATTCCACTGCTCAACGACAAACAGACAAAACACCTTCAGCCAGCGAGTGATAAGACAATGGAATGCACTCCCTGAATTCGTAATTAGGGCTGATAATACCAACACTTTCAAAAACAGGCTAGACAAACACTGGATGGATCATCCAATGAAATTAGACCACAACATTGATTATGGCTATGTACATAGGTAGTTGGGGAAACTTGACTTTTTAACTTTTTATGCAACAATCTAAGGACAATGAGGTCCTTGCAATGATCGATTAACAGGCAAGCATGCCTATAAATCGTAATTCACTTATAATCTTATAATCTTATAAAGAGTAACTGATATTCTTCAAGTTAACCCAATTGATACTTTAGTGATTTGAGAAATATTGTTGACGTGGTTCGGAGAAAAGATTGTGAAATGAAGCCATGCCGATTGATGATTGTAGTCTATATGTGTATTATTGGATTCTTCGGACTAACAAAACAATTGTAGACCTCTCCATTCGGTCAACCATCAAAATCATATACCTCGACTGTAAACCTTGAAACTACCGACTACTATAATAATTTAATGAGTGTGAGGACGCCAAAATCTGCTTTAAATGGGCTTATTAGCCTTTTGCAGATTATGGACATAGACAAAATAAGCCCATGGAGGACCAAAAGGACTTGATACGACTTCCTGTGGTTTCAATCTCTAAATTTTGTAAAAAATATGAAAACATAGTGGGCGATAATGAAGTAATTTTTACGAGTAACTGATATTCTTCAAGTTAACGTTTGATATCGGCTTTCAATATAGGCCCAATTGATACTTTAGTGATTTGAGAACTAATATATTTCATTTCTTGTACTGTAAACGATCATACCTTCATCCTAGAGCCAGGATCAGCTCCTGTTTCTGCCATTCTGAACAAAATTTGTTTAACCAACTGTGTAAGTAAAACTTATTTTGATTGGCTGGTTTAAATTTCCCGCAAAATCACCTTATCATATAGATGTAGTTTCAGTGGATTAAACTTACCAAAAATCTATGTTATACAACAAATAAGTTCTACTTTCTTTATAAACAATCTTATTACAATGTTTTCTTTTGCTTTTAAAGCCTCTAAAAACTTGTACAAATGTAAATTGCAATCAACCAATAAAATAGAGTCTCTCAAAATGTGTTACCTGTAAAATGTAATCCTAAATTTACTAATTTATGTCTTGTAAACTATATTCTGATAATTATTTTTTTGATAATTAAAACACATCAAAAACTTAAAGTAAATATTTATCTGCTGCTTTAAATCAAAACTTTTGTAAATTAAATTAGAAAGTGCGCCATTTTCAAGGAAGTTGAAAAGTTTTCAAAAGGTAAGAAATATTCAAGTTTGATTCATATTTATGTCCATAGTTACCTTATATTCTCTTATTATATGTTCAAATCGATATAGGAATCAATTTTTTGAATTATTAGTGTCGATTCTTGTTCCTTTTCTTAGAGTTGATGTGTACTCAGTACGTAAGTGTACAAAATTGAAAAATGTATTATTTATTTTTAATTTTTTTCTCTTGTTTGTTTTCTCTTTTTCCAAGATATTTGTAGACGTTGCACACACAAGCTCCACCAATTCATAACTCGTTTAATAGTTTCTTCTAAGAAACAAAAATGGCCAAACTCCCGTGCAGTGATCACAGTCAGCACTATCAATGGTATACTTTACCTTTAGTAATAGAAGAGAGAAGTTCAAAAGCTGTTTGTCACGATATTTACCGATCCATTCACTCTCTCCAATACGCATGCGCAGCCCGATGTAAAAAATAAGGCAGTGACTGGAGAGCCTAAAATTTTAGGCTCTTTAGCATTTTTGTAACCCATTTGGCTAAAGAGCCTTAAATTTTAAGGTTCTTCTGCATTAAGGGTAGAAAGCCTTAAATAGGGTCTTTAGCATTTTGATTGCCAATTTTGCTAGAGAGCCAGCCTTAACGGAATTCTAAGTGACGGAAATGACAAAATATTGCTTCTGGGACGAGATCAAACGATTTTGACATATTTTTACTCAACCCGTTTTGTAATTTAACAATCAACACAAATTAACATACTAAATTTAAGCAGATACCGGAGATATTCATAAAAATATATTTTTTGATCGATAAACTCACCGATTATTAAACCGGAAGTGTCTTCTCTGAGGTCCGCGAAGAAAACGAAGAAGGAAACATACAACGATTTTATTCATTTCACTTTTGCAGTGGATTTGATTTTAAATGCTTCTAAATGATCCTTGAATGCTTACTTTGACTTCCTATAAGAACTGTTTTGACTTCCCCATTTCATAAAAAGAACATTATCACTTTTTACTCGACTCGTAAATTTACTTCCGGTCTACCGAAAAAAAGTTCTTAGAACCTTTTCAATCCTCAGTCTAAATTTGGCTTTTTAAAGGTTCAGTAACCTTCGTGGTGCGGCAACTTGGAGCAGTCATATACTTGTTCAATTTTACTAATCAGTAAAGATTTTGATGTTTAGAATAGGCCCTTGGGAGAATGGTGTTGAGGTCACATTTAGTGATGCCCAATAGGAGGCTAGCCTAAAAAAACGTTGATACAAATGAAGGACTTTTGAAGGGGAAGTTTTTGCAAAAAATTGAAAAAATATTTTGTGCCTCTTGTTATTTGAAAATCCTAAAAATCGGCATGGGAATCTAATAGGCAATAGATTTGGAAGTGTATTCTCTGATGTCCCCGGGCTGATGTCCCTACATTCCCGATAAACTACATCATGATGTGCTGTATCTAGAATTCAACAAGATCATTTTCTTCATCCTAAAGTCTCCTTCATACTTTTTGCCACCTTCAAATGGGATTCCCCGTATGCTGTAAGCTTGTGAATATAGTAAAGCCAATACAAGTGATTAATTTCATTAAACATGGATGGTTGAGCGTTGGAGCGAGCCCATGAATTTTTAAAAAATTGTGTACATAATATCCGGACCTCAGAGAACAAACTTCATAATGAAAAAAATTGTACCAACATGGAATCGAACCTGCGCCGTGGGAGTATTAGGCGAACGCCATAACCACAAAACTAGAGAGTGTTTTCTTTTTGTAAAATCTATATTTCAATAATAAAACATATGTAAATAATATAATTATAAATAGACCCAGTTACATTGTTTAATTTCTGTACAGTTTTTCATTTTCAAAATATGCATGTATACTTCCAGTTTTGTCTCTATTGAAAATTTGTATTTCCCTCCTGGTTATTAAAACTTCTTTATAATTCTTATACTTATTTATTCCTATAATTTGTTCAAAAGTGATATTATCAAAAAAATTCCATATATCCCTTATTTTTGTACACTCATAAATTATGTTTAACATTGTCAATTACATTACAATTTTAAAAAGAAATATCTCTAATTCTAAAACCATTTAAAATCTCATTACATGGATATACGTTGTGTAATGTTTTCCAATGAATAATTAAGAGTTTGGTATCTACTTTGCACTTAAATGCTCTAATCCAAGTTGCACATGAAATATCCTTACCATTATACTGTAGAAACAATTTTCTTTTATCTGTTCATATAATCCAAAATCTGATGCTTCATAACATATTATCTCTATACCATTTAAATATACTAGAGTGGCTTGTACATACATTACCTTTAAGGCTCTTTGGCCGAAGTGCTAAAGAACCTTAAAATGTAGGCTCTCCAGTCACTGCCTTATTTTTAACATCGCTGCACATGCGTATTGGAGGGAGTGGAGGGATCGAGTGTGAGTTTGGACCAACTTTTGCAAGTTTGACCAGGAAATCACCTTTCATTTGGTATGTTAGTAACCTTTTTGATCGTATTGGTATGTAAGAATCATATATATGTCGAAATCTAAGCATAAATGTCACAGTTTGAAGGATAAATGTCAGAATATTTACCGGAAGTGTTTATATTTCCAAAGAGCTTTCGGACTTTTCTCGTCTATTACGGTACTAAAGGTAGATTGATGGTGATGACTTTGGCAGTGATATATCACTGCGGCGGGCAGGTATCTCACCGTAAGCATGATAACTTCGTAATAAACAACTGACGTGATTGGTTCTAGTCCCATGATTGTAGAATTTAGACAATTTCATTGGTTGAATTGCGCGTATTAACTAATAAACAACACGTGCGGTAAACTATTATCAACACAACTTTAACTCAGAATTCCTTCCTCGGTGATGTCTTCTCATATTTCAATAATTTTGAGATATTTCGACAAAATAATGATTGGGGAACATTCATGAATATATATCTTATAAGTTGTGTGAATATTGACCACATATACGATGAAAGTGGGAACTATTTTCACCAAATTTTGGAGATTTTCTTCATCTGCCTGCCGCAGTGTCTATACTGAGACACTGCATGGGAGTTCGAAAAATGGCAGGAAAAGATCTTGGCAAAATCTATGGGTAGTTACAGTGCTCACCATAAATAAATGACACCTGGATTTGCTGAAGTGAGGATTTCCCATGTTAAAAAGAAGGGAATTTTGAAGAGGCTATACATCAGTGGATGAAATATACAAAATATGTAAAATATACAAAACTTAAGGGATGTGTATCTAGACATTGTTGGAAAGTATGAAGTCTCAAATCACCATGTTCTGGAAATGGTGATAGAAAATCCAGGTGTCATTTATTTATGGTGAGCACTTTAGAAGAGGGGGAATACGCAGAATTAAAGATAGAGTGTACAGACCTAAATGAGCACATATTTTCAATTTATTCTTAATTCAATTTATTTATTTATTTATTTTACTTCGGAAGCTTCATGATCTTTGTTAATATGGGAGAAAAATGAAGAAAATTCTGAAACAAATCGTGTCAGAAAGCTTTGTTTTCAGATGTAATAGAAACAAATCTCTTAAGTCTTCGAAAGAGCAGCTAAAAAGTCAGTTGTAATAAATGACCAAAAAGTGAGTATGTATTGTATGATTCTGATATTATCGCCCATAGAAATTGTGTCATTGGGGTTGATATTTGTATATTTTCCAATATTTCATGTTATTCCACTCTAATTTCAACAGCCCACAATATAATGTTATACAAACGGCAATCCATGGCATATATTCTGATAAAAATGCTCTCATTTTGTGATTTTTTCACATATCCATACCCATTTTTTAGAAAATGTAGATTATGTAATTAAACAGACGATGCTAAAATATTATTGCTATATCTTAAATTATTTATGAGATAAGGTTGTCATGATAACCTGTTTTAAAGTTGTACTAAAACCAATTGAAGAATCTCTTATTATCTTGTTTTTAGCACAAATAGCATTTTTTGAGGTCACCTAACTATGACATACCGTGTGCCAATTTATTCTGGCACGAAATCGAAAAGTTGTTCTTGCAAACTACTACGAAGGCTGAACCAAAGTAGAAATATACATTAGTTCCACATTCGCACGCATTCCAATAGCCACATAAATATTTTTAATTGATTGATCTTCACAACCTTTGGCGTTGCTGTTATCTATAGAGTTTAATTTTAGGTATGATATTGTTTATCATAAGCTTTATAATTGCTATTAAAGTGTGGTATATACATTCAATGCTCAAAACTCTGGTACTTATACCAGCGTTGTGTTTGTATACTGTAGATATGATTTTAATTCAGGGGTTTCACCTTTAAAAATAAGATATTGAATTATTCAAATTATGTAATAGAGCCTGTTATTTATTATCTTCTATTGTTTTTAAAACCCATTTTCTCTGAATAGATACAATGCATATGGCTATCTATCAAATCATGTCTAAATCACTTTATTCCAATATTCCTATAATAACAATGTTTTTACTGAATACAATGCATAGATGCAGTCAGGTATGAATAATTATTTTTCGAATTTATTTATACTGCTGTGTCTATATACTTCTTGCTCATGTTTGGAACCATTTGTTAATGATATTTCTTTTAATACCATTGCCATTT